CTCATCCAGCGAGACGCCCAGCTGTGTGGAGAAGCAGGAAGAGGGACGCTGAACGATAGGGTTACGCTCGATTGTCCCATAACATCAGTTGTGAATTCTATTGGCCAATTTCATTTCTTCCACAATTTTCCAAGATCCGTGAATTGTTCAATAATCGACTCGAAATATTTTTGAATAAATACAAGATAATATCAGACTGTCAGTATGGACTTAGCTCAGCAGCACTAGCTCTGGTGCAGTCTGTGGAAGAAATTACAACGTTAACTGATCAGAAGAAAGGATATTTATTGATTTAAAAAAGGCTTTTGATACGGTTAATCATTAAATGTTGCTTGGAAAGGTAGAGAGGTATGGGATCAGGGGTGGCTGACAAGCGATCTACAGCAGAGGAGACAGGTTGTGAAGTTTGGAGAATGTTCATCTTCATGGTTGGACGCTGTTTGGGGAGTACCACAGGGGTCTGTGTTGGGTCCAAAATTATTTTTATTATATATTAATTATTTGATTAACGTAACAAATACACTGACATTTGTTTTGTTTGCCGATGATACGACTATTTTCTGTGCAGGAGATGATATTAGCGAGTTAGAAAGGATGGTTCAAATAGAAATGTGCATCAGTGGTTTATTGAAAATAAGCTTACATTAAATACAGCAAAAACAAAATGTATGCTGTTTGGTTGGCTAATAAAACTGAGGTTAAGCTGCAAATAGATGGATGTGAAATTGAGCAAGTAACAGAGCATAAGTTCCTGGAATAATAATAGATAATAAATTACACATGTATTTAATAAGGTCGCGAGAAGCATCTACATTATGAGTAAAGCTCGACAGCACTTGGATTATAAACCACTCCATGTCCTTTATTATTCACTGATTCATCCCTGTCTTATTTACTGAGTAGAGGTGTGGGGTAACACGTATAAAACATCTATAGTACCCTTGTCTATCATACAGAAAACAGTACATATGTATGGGTTTCTTTTTGTATACTTTAATTTGTTTGTTGATTTACATGTTCAATAAAAATAAGAATAAAATAAGTAATCTTTTAATATCACACATATTTCGTCTGTGTTACAACAGCAAAGCTACAAACATGTCATAACACGTAACTTAGTATTCAGAGTCATTCCACCTCCATGACTGAACCTGCATAACTAACTCATGCATGAATACTCACCACCCCCTCAGAGAAGACTCGCAGGTTTATCTGCCGCTGCGTGGCTCTCTCCAGAATGTCTTTAGCTGCGACGCTACAGCTTACCTTCAGCGTGTCGAAGAACATGTCGCTATGCAGCCGGTGTCCCGCTCTCTTCAGACCTGAAACATGAAAATGGGCAAAAATGAATGACTTGTATCCCAATCTTAATGCTGTAAAACAGTCTCAAATAATGATACTGCCACCACTGTGTTTGAAGACCAGGTTCACTAGTTTTTTCCACACATTTACTGTGGTCTAGTGAAAATGAATGCCCTGTGGTTCAGTCTCTGTGGGAGAAACTCTGTTCCTGTTTCAGGAACTAGAAGTGAGCCAGAGAAGAGGGGCGCAGCAATACGGAGTCTTACTTCCTGAAATGTGGACAAGTTGCCTCTTATTGGCTAACAGAACACAACTCTTCCACTGCCTCTGTTCGCTCTGCAACATTGATGATTTATCCCCACAAATAGCACAAGCCTGAAGGAGTTCTGCCATGCTGTGGAGATGCTAATGCTAACCATTAGCTTCTGCTAGCCAAGGCATGCTCAGCTCTCTGCCAGACGCTAAATCAGCCACCGCCTTCTCTGTTGTGAGCCAAGATCGGCAGGCCCATGAATGCTAATCGTCAGTGTGATGTAGATCTGACTGGCTTTTCTAATCGGAACGTTTCCTCTTCTACTTTCCATCAGAGGCTAATGCAGGAAATAGGGGTGAACTTGGTCTTTAAGAACTAGAGTGAAATTCTAGGTTCATGGACCTCCTTGGAATGGTTTTATTCGATTTCTATGAATTACAATAAATAATAAAACAGATTTACCTTCAGAGAGGATTAGTGCAGCGTTGTGTGTTCTTTCAGCGATGTGCTTAAGTCCCTGAGGGCCATGATAGAGTGCATACATAGCAGCCATGTTGGCTAGCAGAGCCTGCACACACAAACGTTCATCACATTTTGCAGCTTTTATCACCAAATTGATTAAAAACTGTAAAGCACCTATTTAAATAGATGGAAATCAACACATTTTTATTTCCTCATAAAAAATATGTTTCCTCACACTTTTCTAATGAATGTGATTAAAACGTAAACTTACCTGTGCAGTGCAAATGTTGCTGGTTGCCTTGTCTCTCCGAATGTGTTGCTCTCTGGTCTGCAGAGCAAGACGGTACACTTCCTTACCGGCTGCATCTCTGGACCATCCAACAACAAAAGATGCAAATCAGGAAACATTCTCATTTCCTTTTCATTCATTCTCAGCCCTCTACTGGTGCCATCACTCACCTGGTGACTCCAACCATTCTGCCAGGCATCATTCTGACCAGGCTGTCTTTGACTGCAAAGAAGGCGGCATGAGGACCGCCGTAGCAGAGGGGAACGCCAAACCTCTGGGAGCTGCCCAGCGCGACATCGACACCGAACTCTCCAGGAGGTCGCAGCACGCAGAGAGCGAGCAGGTCAGTGGCACAACAGGCCATGGCCTGGACACAAGAAGGGAGATTAAACTGAATGAGGTCATTGTGCACCAACACCATCCGGCTACAAAGACAGACTTTTGTATAGATGTCCTCGGTGTGACCCAACACGTACCGCACCCACGGGCTTGCAGATGTGCTTAAATAAACGGTTGTCGTGATTCTAGCTGCAGCTTTCTCTTACCCCTCCCTTATGAGCCCGGTCCACGAGGGCGGTGAAGTCCTCCACTCTGCCATCGGTGTCCGGATACTGGAAGAGAATGCCGCTCACATCCTTCCCGCTGAAGTCCATCTCATGAGGCAGCTTCAGCACAGTGTTCACGCCGATGTAGCTGCAAAACGCATCAAACAGAGCATCAGATGCACGTTCAGTTGCTGCATGAAATTAGGAGTTTGTGACGCATACTTGGCTCGGGTCTGCACCACAGCTATGGTCTGAGGGTGGCAACGCGGGTCGATGTAGAAGGTCCGTCTTTTGTTTTGCCTGTGAGAACAAACGAGATTGCGTTTCCGATCTCAAATTAGCTAATTATTCATTTGAACCCCAAAAATGATTCCTTTGGTTTGTACTTGTAATGAATCACTCATGGGCAGAGCTTCACATGCAGAGGATGGTACCTGTGGCAGAGCTGCATGGCCTCGGCTGCAGCGGTCCCTTCATCGAGCAGGGAGGCGTTGGACACGGGCATGCCGGTGATGTCACAGATCAGGGTCTGATAGTTGAGGAGAGACTCCAGGCGACCCTGAGAGACCTCCGGCTGGTAGGGCGTGTACTGGGTCACCCTGAAGAAGACACTCAGCATGAATCAGCCAAACCAGTTTGGACACCAGGACAAAAGGGGAAAGTTGTTGTTAACCAAGGAAGCGAGACGAACCAGTGGAATGCACTGTTCGTCTGTTCAGGTTCACGAGGTTTAGAGAAAACACGGGCAGGGGTGGCCGAGTTGGATTTTGGTGAAAGGAGACGTTGTTCAGCATAAACGCTGGGGAGAACCATCCGTTCTTAATGAGTCAAGTCACACGGCCTCACGTGAAAGTCACGCCAGGCTGTGCCACAAGGACCAAACTTATAAATCCACTCGCATCACGTTCCCCCCCCCCGTGTTGGCCCACGGGCACTCACCAGCCAGCATTCTCCAGGAGATTCCTCTGGATGGGTGGTGGGACGGAGCAGCTGTAGTAACCCATCCCGATGTAAGACCTCCAAACTTTGTTTTTGGATGCAATCTTCTGCAGCGCCTCCAGAACTTCATTCTCACCTGGAAGTCAGACAAAACTGGCCTCGTTTCCAAATACAGGAAGAAAACAATAAAAATCAGGAACATTAAAACTGCTTCATGGAAAATATCTGACTTGCATCCTTAAATAGTTGGATGAGCTCAGAACATTTCATAAATAATTCATCAGAAAGGCGGCTCAGCAGCCAAACTGGTGTTTTATTCATGAGTGCCGGGACACATTTCCAGCCCTAACCCTAACCAGCACATCCTCCAAAGCCCGTGTGGGTTCCTTTCCTGACGTTTAGCCTCAATCTTCAAGGCGGTTGGGAATTTTCTGCCTGTGCCTCGGATTCCTCTGGATTTCCTGGCTGCCTAGCAACTCCGAGGAATGGACAATACCACCCGTCTGAGACTTTGTTTTTGGAAAAGAAATGTAGAGCTTGGTGGCGGGAGGGTCCACAGCCAGAGTGTCGGGGTTTATTTACAGCTTTTTCAAAAAAGGACCAAGTTTTTATTAAAGTTTAACGTTTATATTATCTCATCTTTTACAGGGGAATGTGTTTGCTTTGTTTCATTGGTTGATGGGCGTTCATTTCAGAAGGAAAGACTGTTTTCCCGTAGTTCCAGAGCTCTGTCGAGCAGTTGGGGGGGGGGGGGGGGAGCCTGATTCAGGAGGTCCATTGTTAAGAGAATCCCTCTCTGGCTTTGCAAAGCGAAGCCCTTCAAAGCTGAACAAGCAGCACCGCCTCCAGTCTGTCCCTTCAGCATGGTTTGCTGCATTATAAAGCCTGACAGTCAGGAGGGGCCGGCACAAGGCTGGCTCAGGGACCGGGTCACAGAAGCATTCAAAAGGTACCCAAGTGGCTAGAAAAGACATTTCTAGTACAGATTTGTCTTCAGCGTCTTCGTATTTTCACTCTGCAGCGTCAGACGTTCAACCACGTCCGGACCACAGTCGTTCCAGAAGAATGTATAAGAATCATCAACATTTAGACTAAACAGTCATCAGGACACAGTTTCTGTTCGTCTGAGCCGTGTATGAAAAACTGATTTCACCATCTTGGTCGGATGAGTGAATCGTGGCGTCGCTGGTAGCGTTCAGAAAACCTGCTGATCGTTAGAAGTTAACCTTCTTTCTTCACATCTAACCTCGTGTACAAAACTCCGATTACATCCTGGCATCGTTCATTCAACAAAAGCGTCTGGATTCTCAGGCTGTTTGACTCTACTGAGCACTCCGATGGTTCTGAGGAGTTCTGACCCGTCTTCTTTTTGGAGTTGCTTCACTTCGTTGAGATCTGCAGGGATTCATTCATGACCTGCTCTCTTAAAAGTCCCGTCACAGTTACTTCGATCAGGTAAGGATCTGGACTTTGACTGGACCGTTGCAACACCTTTTCTTCTTGTTCTGCTGTAGGTCCGCTCTGTCCTTGTTCCTGACCCGCTTCGGTCCAAGGTGGTTCCACATTGATCCCTTTGACCCACAGAGGAGTTCACAGTGGACTCAGTGGCTGTGAGGTGTCCCGCTCATTAGCCGTCCACATCTGTGCTGATATGCTGCACTTTATAACGTCGCAGTGCATTATGGGTAATAATCTGTTTGGTCTCTCATCTCTAGAACGGTCTTGTGGTTTGTCTTCATGCAAATTTGAATCCTAAATCATGCTGGCATGTTCGTTGTAGCGTAGAAGTACCGACACACTGCAGCATAACCCAAATGTATCTGCAGGTCGGTCTAGCCACGCTCCCTCCAACCCTCCGCGGGCCCAAATAGACTTGTGCCTTGTCAATCACGGCTCTCCATCGGGTTGGCGGGCCAATCACGGCTCTCCATCGGGTTGGCGGGCCAATCACGGCTCTCCATCGGGTTGGCGGGCCAATCCGATAGGGTTTGGTGGGTGGTCTGTTACTGTGACTGAGCAAAAACAGCTTTGGACTATTTAGACTTGAGCGTGTCTTTGAATCGAGCACATAGAGCTACTTCCATTAAAAGAAGATGTATTTATGTCTTCTTTGACAGTTTACGGCGGACTGCCTCTTCAACGACATCCATACCATGTGGAGACGGTTAGAAAGACCACCGTAGATTCTGCCCCAAGACTGAGTTGTGTGTATGGATTGTGGCCGGACTATATTCACATGTATAGCATGGCTTGCTAGGCTAATGTTCTCCAAAAACTCTTTGAAACACACCACAGCTGTTCTGTTTATCTTATTAATTTATCCTTCTAGTCCCAGTTGCTCGTAGATTTGGATGTGACATTTCTTTGAGGAGGGCTGTGCAGTGTTTCAGTGGTTAGAGCTGTTGCCTAGCAACAAGAAGGTCCTGGGTTCGTTTCCCAGCCTGGGATCTGTCTGCATGGAGTTAGCATGTTCTCCCTGTGCATGCGTGGGTTCTCTCCGGGTTCTCCGGCTTCCTCCCACAGTCCAAAAACATGACTGTTAGGGTGATTGGTCTGTCCAGATTGTCCTTAGGTGTGTGTGTGTGTGTGTGTGTGTGTGTGTGTGTGTGTGTGTGTGTGTGTGTGTGTGTGTGTGTGCGTGCGTGTGTGTGTGTGTGTGTGTGTGTGTGTGTGTGTGTGTGTGTGTGTGTGTGTGTGTGTGTGTGTGTGTGTGTGTGTGTGTGTGTGTGTGTGTGTGTGTGTGTGTGTGTGTGTGTGTGTGTTTTCTTCTATATTCGCTCCAGAACAGACCTGAGGAAACAGGCTGCGCGTGATGCTGGAATAGTGAGCAGCGTGGGACAAGAGGAGGACACATCCAGGTCAGATAAAAGACGGAACAAACTGAAGTCACCTTATTAGGAACCCCTCGGCTGTGACGTAATGTGAACGACGCAGGAACCAGATTGAACTGGACTCTGGACCGGAGCTCTCAAGGCGAAACTTTACACTCCAGTTGCCATCCTATGAGCATCGGCTTCTTCCCATCAGGAGATTGGTGCTGCTCGCCGAGTTTCGCAAAAACAACTCCAAATATGTTCAAAGGAAGACTTAGCCGGGGCGCGCGCTCCGCGGCGCACAATAGACGCGCAACCTACATTTCAGCCACTCGCTTGGCTCCGTTTAGCGCCCCTGAGATGGAAAGGGGAGACCCAACCGAGCCGAATAACCGCAGCTGAATTCAACATCAAGCCTTTTTATTTACATGTAGGGTTTGTGCGTCTAGTTGGTTCTCAGCGTTTAGATACGAGAGACAAAATGTGTTCAAATGAAGCCAAACTTACAAATGGGATCATCCATCTTCAAACTCCGCTGAAGGCTGATGGAGGCTGGCACTGTGCTTTCTATCAGCTGGTCGATTGACTGTGGTAAATAAATAAATAATAAATAAATAAGCGCGTGAGTAACCGTCACCTATTGTTGCATATAAACCAGTTCATGCTGTAAAATCTCACCTCAAGCCCCAGAACATCCAGCATCTCTCTCTTCTCCCGCTCACCTGGACCGATGTGCCTTTCTGCAAAATCATCGTGTCTGGGTAAAATCCTCTCGATGCGCCTGGATGAGGCGGACGCGGACGTCCTGAGAGCCCGGGCTGCTGTTGATCTCCCGGGTCGGATCCTGCACTGAAGTTTCCAAACCACGCCGCTCTTGTGGCTCAGATGGCTGCAGGGCGCGCTCGGACTCACCGACCTGGCCAAGAAGAGCCCCCAGGATTTGGCGCAGCTCTGCATCTCCTCCGTAGATGTGCAGAACGAGTGTTCCGGGAACCAGCGAAGAGAACCCCCCTCCCCCCAAACGTGCGGGAGAAAACCTACTACCAACTCCACCAAAGTGCAAGAGTTTTATACCGTTGCACAGTTACACAAGAGCGAGCCAATCGGCGCGGAGACGCTGCGTGACGTAGCGACGAGCCCCGGTAAAAACAGCTGCTGAACTTTCTCACGTGCCTTCCATTGACCAAAAGAAGGAAAAAGGGGGAATGTGTCTCCACAAAGGTTATTCTGCAGCTAAAGTCAAAGTCTGAAGGTCTCGTGGACTTTGATGCGCGCACTGATAATGTGCGCGTGCGCAACCTGGTTTAATATGATCTGAAAACGGAGCCAGACTAACTCTTCCTCCTCCTGCATGAATGTTTGTTCATCAAGGAAACATCAACATTTCAAAGACAAGGTTTAAGTGACTTCACAGGAACGTTCCTGATGATGTGCTGATTTCTTCAGAAGGTTCAGAAGTTAGCTCGTTTTATGTGTTTTATTAAGAACGCTGGCTTAAAGTAGGCCTGTCACATAAAAACACGAAAAATGCAGTTTAAGTAAATTACTCATTTAATTAATATTTTTTAAACAAATCAATTACATAATAAGGTTTTTTCCATCCTATATTTGAGTCAGTAATGCTTCATGGCAGTATTACTATATTATGATACTTCCTCTACCATGCTTTTCTGCGGACAAGATTTCTTTGGCTTCCTCATACCTCCGACTTTGGCTTTTTATTACAAAATTAATAATAATGATAATAATAATAAACTGACGTCTAAAAACTTACAAATTTAAGATCTTTGGATAATTGCTGTCTACAGGGGAACAATTTTCTCAACCATAATAAAGTGAAGCGGTACAAAATGTACTAAAGTGAAAGTACTTACAGACTGAGCTACATGATCACATTTGTATTCAGTTTAATGTTTTACTTTTTCTAAGTTTGTTTGCCTTTTAGAAACATATTGTATGTGTTTGTGTATAATGGTAAAACTGTTAGTGGCATAAATGGCCTGAAACTGATGTTTATTTTCTGCTTCATGATGATTTCCCAACTAGATTCATTTAAATTGAGTCGTGAAGGAGAAAATAACCCAAAATCCAAGAAACGGTGCATTTGCCAGGAGATTCATTCTGTAAACATCAAACATGCCCTGAAGTCACCTGGTTTCACCCAAGTCTTGTTCTCAAACAGATGTTGAATTAAATCAGGTGCTTCCAGAGTAAAGGTGTGCCACAGCGCCCCAACAGCCCCCCCAGAAGGACCTGTTTTTGATATAGCACCTTCTAGAGTCCTGGAACCCCCCAAGGCGCTTTACAACAATCAGGCCAAGAACGTGTCAGGCTCACGGTGGGAGAACTGACACATTAGAAGTTGGGTTGCATCTGATTTGCCTTTTGCCGTCATTTCCAGCTGCTCTGCAAACCAAATTCATTTTTAGGACACCGTTTCACTGAAACAAATTCAGCATAAAGATCAAGTTCATTCGTTTTTTTCAACCCTTCTGCAGTGGTCTCTAGTATAACTTGAGAGATGATCTCTGGGGGAAAAAAAGCTCTGGCGCACTCGTCTCAGGAACAGTAAACGGCCTGTATTTGATATAGCACCTTCTAGAGTCCCAGAACCTCCCAAGGTACCTTACAACAATCAGTCTTTCACACATTCACACGTTTGTGGTGATGAGCTACATTTTAGCCACATCTGCCCTGAGGCACACTGACAGAGGCCAGGTTACCGAGCACAGGTGCCAACATTCCCTCTGACCACCACCAGCGGTGGGCAAAGTGTCTTGCCCAAGGACACAACAGGAGAATTCTCTACCGGGAGCCGGGATCGATCCTACAACCCTCCGATTGCTGGACAACCTGCTTTACCTTCTGAGCTACTGCTGGAACTGAGCCAGGGCAGATGGGGACAGAACACAGCAGATTTTGGAGTTTTATTTCCTGGTATTCGGACATCTCGCCTCTGATTGGATAGCAGCAACACTGACTTTGTTTTTGCAATACTGATGTTTCATCTCCATTAATAACACAAGTCTGAAGGAGTTCTGCTGTGTTGTGGAGTTGCTAATGCTAATGGTTAGCTTCTACTATAGCCGACATGTGCTTTGCTCTCCTGGACACTAAATCAACAACCACCTTCCTCGTCGCGAGCCAAAATGGTTGAGTCCATGACGGACTTTTTCAATCCCAGCATTTCCTCGTCTGTTTTCTACTGGCGGCTCACGCAGGAAACGGGGTAGAAGACTACTTTCACGTTTAGCCTGTTAAGCTCAGCGTGACTGATCTTAATTCAAAATAAGTAAAAATGGCTTCTTGGTGAACTTGGCCTGTGATAATTTAATCAAATATTTTTATGGTCAGAACATAAAAAAGCCCATTTGGATGCTATCAAACGTGACGCCAAACAGAAAGCAGCAACAAAAATATTTTTGGTGTTTATTCAGGCAACGACCAGAAAAACCGAAATCCTATTTCCAGGTTTTAGATCATTTCCTGTCAGGTGTCACATCATCAGGCTGCATCTGCTCACCTTCACTTCTGTGTTTATTTGATGCTCGTCCCCTCACAACCGAGCGTTTGTTTCCAGATATTACATCAAACCATCCGGCAACCGCCTAAATAACTCCGGGAGCGATGCCAGCAGCATGTGTTCTCAGGTTAGTCGCCGTCGCTCAGCCAGAACCACACAAGACTTCATGCGTTTATGGAGTTCTCACCTGGCTGACAGCTTTAGGTGATCTTTTATTCTATTGAACTAAAAGGTGAAACATTTAACTGCATCAGCGACTCGCATCAAAATCCTTGTGGCGGTAACGGATTGTTTTCAAACATTACGAGTTCCTGGAAAACGCTTTGGTTGCACCTTCAGGAACCAGCAGAACCGGATCAGTTCACTCCGGTGTTCTTTGATGTTCTGTCAGTACTCGGTAAGCAAATGCCAGGAGGAGTCACCCCAGGTTCAATCATGTAAAAAACACTCAGTCCGTACTATTATTTAGTGCTAAGAATAATTAAATACGCATTAGTTAAATAACCCGAAACAAATCAAATGAACTCTTTCATTAATTTAACATCCAGTACATTGCGGTGTGCTAACTGTTTATTTGACGGCTTCTTCGTTTTGCACTGAACTCTCTTTGGACTCTTTCCACAAATTCCCAGCAACAATACCTAAAAGTAACCCGAGTCCAAGGTTTCTGTTCGAGACGAACTGCTTCCAGCAGTCTTCGGCGTTGTTGGTGTCCACCATGTAAATCTGTTAGAGCAAAAACAACAAAAATAACTCAATAACAAACTCATTTCTATGTTTTGATCTAGTCAACACCTGATGCCAAAGTATGAAATTACAGAATGATGTAATGCTTCAGTAGTTCCTCACCTGACGAGCTAGGTGGATGGACACAACAGTGAGAGCAGAATAATACGGAAGAGTCTGTTCGGCGTTGACGCCGGCTACGACCAGTCCCGAGATCATGGCCGCTGTGAAACCACTCAGCCAAAGTTTGGTTTGGTCCTGGAACTTCAGGGCGGTGGACTTCACTCCTACCTTCATGTCATCCTCTTTATCCTGGACGGAGAAACAAAAGGTTCTGACACGAACACTTAAGTTCAAATGAAAGAAACAGTTCTTCATGAAATCCTCACAAAAGTGACCCTCTGAGGCAGGTGTTGGCATGTACAGGTGAAACTCAGAAGTCTCAGTGTGGTGCAAAAGTCCATTTAGACCGAGAGGCCATTTAAAGGCACACTTGGCAATTGTACTTGCTTTCAGCTCCCCCTAGTGTATGTTATTAATTCTGTGGTCAAACTGAAAATGAAACCCGTCTCCTCGCTGTGCGTTTGTCCTTTTACACCCTAACCCAACAGCTGAAATGTCTCCTCAGCCTTCCTTAGTGTCTACAGGAGCGGTTCATCACTAAATTAAACAAATCAGCTGTGTTCATGATTTGAAACATGCAGGAAACGTGCTGGAAGCACCAGGTATGTCAGCTCCATTTTCTTCTAAGTCCAGCAGGTGGCAGCCAGCCAGTCTGAAGTTGCAAGTGAAATATTCTGTCCACAGGGGCCGATAGGCCCTTCATTAACCCATAAAGGATTATTTTAGCACATACTGGCTATGAAAACATTTAAAGTGCTCTTAAATTTAACGTTTAGGTAAAACTTTCTTTTACAGTCCCCTAATTACTAAGTACTTACATGGTAATTACATAGTAAGTTAAAATGAGTTGTTAAATAGTTATTACCATGTAACACAGGTTCAATTCTAGTTTTTATTTGTATTAATCCTTCCAGTAAACACTGCTTTACACAATAATTACACTTTATTACAATTACACACTTTAACTACACAATATTACACGTTAACTTACTATGTAATTACCGTGTAAGTACTTAGTAAAAGGAAGTGTTACCAGCGTTTATGGTAAAATCCTCCTGGCCACAGGGAGCGGTGGAGTCTGAGTCACATTTCGTTAACGCTGTAAAGACGTTTTAGCACACGCTGGCTCACTCGTAAGTCGCTTTGGACAAAAGCGTCTGCAAAATACATAAACAAGAAAACGATTTAAAACTATGAAAAGTTGCATCCAGAACACCTGTGAAGGGTTCCCGAGTCTTTAATCAGCTGATTCGAGTGTGACACTTTTCACAGGATCTTTCATGGAGGTAAATTCAAAGAGTCAGAGTACCCGGCCTGGAGGGTTACCAGGGTCCCACCCTGGAGCCAGGCCTGGGGTTGGGGCCCGTGAGCGAGCGCCTGGTGGCCGGGCTTTTGCCCATGGGGCCCGGCCCGGCCCAGCCCGAACCGGATACATGGGCTCATCCAACTGTGGACCCACCACCCGCAGGAGGAACATGAAGGGTCCGGTGCAATGTGGATCGGGTGGCAGACCGAGGCCGGAGCCTTGGCGGTCCGATCCCCGGACAAGAAAACTGGTTTTTGGGACATGGAACGTCACCTCTCTGGCGGGGAAGGAGCAGGAGCTTGTGGCAGAGGTTGAGCGGTACCGGCTACATATAGTCGGACTCACCTCGACACATAGCGTTGGCTCTGGAACCCAAGTCCTTGAGAGGGGTTGGACACTCTCCTTTGATGGAGTTGCTCCGGGTGAGAGGCGGAGGGCTGGGGTTGGCTTTTTGTTAGCCCCGAGACTCTCTGCCTGTGTGTTGGGGTTTACCCCGGGGGGCGAGAGGGTAGCTTCCCTCCGCCTTCGGGTCGGGGAACGGGTCCTGGCTGTTGTTTGTGCTTATGGGCCAAATATCAGTTCAGAGTACCCACCCTTTTTGGAGTCCCTGGGACGAGTGCTAGATAGTGCTCCATCAGGGGACTCCATTGTCCTGCTGGGGGACTTCACGTGGGCAATGACAGCATGAACTGTAGGGATGTGATTGGGAGGAACGGCCCACCTGATCTGAACTCGAGTGGTGTTTCATTATTGGACTTCTGTGCAAGCCGCAGTTTGGCCATAACGAACACCATGTTCGAACATAAGGATGCCCACCGGTACACTTGGTACCAGGGCAGCCTAGGTCGCAGGTCGATGATGGACTTTGTAGTCGTATCATCTGAGCTGCGGCCGTATGTTTTGGGCACCCGAGTGAAGAGAGGAGCGGAGCTGTCAACTGATCCCCACCTGGTGGTGAGTTGGATCAGATGGCAGGGGAAGATGCCACGTAGACCTGGCAGACCCAAACGCATAGTGAGGGTCTGCTGGGAACGCCTGGCAGAAGAACCTGTCAAGACGGTCTTCAACTCCCACCTCCGGCAGAGCTTCGACCGTGTCCCGAGAGCAGTGGGGGACATTAACTCCGAGGGGGCCTTGTTCCACTCTGCGATTGTTGAGGCGGCTGTTGTTAGCTGTGGTCGCAAGGTGGCCGGTGCCAGTCGTGGTGGCAACCCCCGTACCCGCTGGTGGACACCAGAGGTTGCATGACTTAATTTTTTTTTAAGTCGACAGATCCACCGACCGCAAAAACAGCGTAGTGCGAGCTGCTCGCCAGCCGCAGTGCGTCACCGGAGGACAAAACAGATGATGCACCCAGCTCCACAGCAGCGGGGTGCATCAGGCAAAAATAAAAGACAGAAAACATAAAAGGAAATGAGCCGACATGAACAATCGCATTACATTTGTTTTTGAGTGGTGACACCTGATTTGATAATGTTACTGTGGCCGTGCTCAGGACGCAGATGTCTGGAGCGTGTCAACGATCAGAGCTTTGCATGCACAAGCTGGTTAAGGTTAGGATGGGGTGAGGGGAAGGTTAAATTGCAAGAGGGTAAACGTCGCAATTTGGTTAAATGTCCGTTTTACGGCGAGTGTCAGTACCTCCGCCTCAATCCAGACGCGCAGGGGCTCGTCACCTGCTGTCTTTTCCGAGGACTGCATCTTGTCATTATCACGTGACAGCGACTAGTCGATGACAGGCATAAAAAGTCACTACAGAGCAGTGAGGTCGACTAGTCGACTAGTTCATACAACCCCTAGTGGACACCAGAGGTTCGGGGAGCCGTCAGGCTGAAGGAGGAGGCCTACAGGGCGTGGCTGGTCTGTGGGTCTCCGGAGGCAGCAGACAGGTACCGGATAGCCAAGCGGGGTGCAGCAGTGGCAGTTGCCGAGGCAAAATCTCGGGCGTGGGAGGAGTTTGGTGAGTCCATGGAGAAAGACTATCGATCGGCTCCAAAGAGGTTCTGGCAAACTGTCCGGCACCTCAGGAGAGGAAGGCAGCAACTCGCTCACACTGTTTACAGTGGGGATGGGGAGCTGCTGACGTCAACTGAGGCTATAGTCGGACGGTGAAAGGAATACTTTGAGGAGCTCCTCAATCCCACCTATGCGCATTCCGAGGAGGAACCAGAGCTGGGAGGCCTGGGGATGGACTGTCCAATCTCTGGGGCAGAAGTTGCTGAGGTAGTCAAACAACTACACAGCGGCGGAGCCCCGGGGGCGGATGAGGTTCGTCCTGGGTATCTCAAGGCTATGGATGTTGTAGGGCTGTCATGGTTGACACGTCTCTACAACATTGCGTGGTCATCGGGGGCAGTTCCTGTGGAGTGGCAGACCGGGGTGGTGGTCCCCATCTTTAAGAAGGGTGACCTGAGGGTGTGTTCCAACTATAGGGGGATCACACTCCTCAGCCTCCCTGGAAAGGTCTACTCCAAGGTACTGGAGAGGAGGGTCCGATCGATAGTTGAATCTCAGATAGAGGAGGAGCAATGTGGTTTTCGTCCTGGCCGTGGAACTGTGGACCAGCTCTATACCCTTGCAAGGGTGATGGAGGGGGCATGGGAGTTTGCCCAACCAATCCACATGTGTTTTGTGGATTTGGAGAAGGCTTATGACCGTGTCCCCAGGGGCACCCTGTGGGGGACGCTCCAGGAGTATGGGGTGGGTGGCTTTCTGTTAAGGGCCATTCAGTCCCTTTACCAGAGGAGCGTGAGTTTGGTCCGCATAGCCGGTAGTGAGTCGGACCTGCTCCCGGTGAGGGTTGGACTTCGCCAGGGCTGCCCTTTGTCACCGGTTCTGTTCATCACTTTTATGGACAGAATTTCTAGACGCAGCCGTGGTGTGGAGTGTGTCGAGTTTGGTGGCAGGAGAATCTCGTCTCTGCTTTTTGCGGATGATGTGGTCCTCCTAGCTTCATCCAGCTCTGACCTTCAGCTCTTGCTGGGTAGGTTCGCGGCCGAATGTGAAGCGGCTGGGATGAGGATCAGCACCTCAAAATCTGAGACCATGGTTCTCGACCGGAAAAGGGTGGCTTGCCACCTCCGGGTCGGGGGAGAGGTCCTACCTCAAGTGGAGGAGTTTAAGTATCTCGGGGTCTTGTTCACGAGTGAGGGTAGGAGGGATCGGGAGATCGACAGGCGGATTGGTTCGGCGTCTGCAGTGATGCGGACGCTGAGCCGATCTGTCGTGGGGAAGAGGGAGCTGAGCCAGAAAGCCAGGCTCTCGATTTACCGGTCGATCTACCTCCCAATCCTCACCTATGGTCATGAGCTTTGGGTAATGACCGAAAGAACGAGATCGCGACTTCGCTTAATTAACTTTGTGGCCAGGAGAGAGCAGAGCATGTCTTGGCTAATAGAGGCCAGCAATAAGCCTTAGCAACTCCGTAACGTGACGAAACGCATTTAGACGTGTTATTTTTAGTGATAAAACATCAATTATGTTGCATGTTTTTACCCAAGAAAGAAGCGCAAAGACAGCAGAAGAGCTGCGTTGCTATTAGCCCATCAGAGGCGAGATTTTCACAAAACATAAATTATAATGAGTAAGAATCATAATCCTGCTCCCGCCAATAATAAAACCTAAAACCTCTTCATCCTGAAACAGGAGCACCAGAGCTTCTTTTTTTTTCTACAGAGAAAACGACTCACGGGGAATTAATTTATACAAGCGAGCTCGGCAAGTTAACAGAAAAATATGATAATATTAATAATAACACTAAGAATGCAGGCTATCTTCATGTTGCACCGAGTGACACTGCTTACTTGTTTGTAAATACTCTAAATTGAGCAAAATTTATTTATCATAAATAACAAAAATGACAAATTTCAAGTAGAATCAGTGATGAATAAAGACTATTAAGAACGGGAAACAAAATCTTAAATTGTTCATGTGAAACGAGATCCACAGAGCGGCGTGCTTCACCTGATGAGCATATATGGTGTCGTATATCAGCGTCCACATCACTCCTGACAAGTACAGCGGGAGACACACGGACCAATCACAAGAGCCCTTCACAGCAGACCAGCCGAGCAGAGCGCCCCAGTTAAACGTCAGCCCTGCAGACGTAGGAACAACTTTCACTTTAGAAGGAGAACACAACAGAAACGCTTCACGAGGAACGTACCCAACACCAGCTGTGGCCAGTAGGTGACTCTCTTCATCAGAGGGTAGGTGATGACCAGAGATAAAGAGGAGGCACCCAGAGCTATGCTGTCAGGAGCAACATAACACAAGATGTAGGACACGTTTCACATGGAGCCCCTTTGCAGCTGCTTCAGACAGGGAGTTAGTAGCTATAACCCTTGTCCCTCGTTGGGCTTTTTCACCAACATCCACGCGATAAAATCAAACCATAAATAAGCTAAAACTACAGTTTGTTTCACAAAAACATGGAGATAAACACAACAGTAAAATTTAAATAATAATCACACTAAAAGCCACTAAAATTTACAAAAGAGATATTTTAAAACCATGAAACCAAATTAGGACACAAACAGCTGATTTGTGCTGCTTTTCCTTTCTTTCAGCCAAAACTTCACCTTTGTTGTCAACAGCTTGATTTCTGGAATGAATTTGTTTTCAGCTGGAAAAAGTGTTCCTCGGCTGTTAATGGAAGAAAACAGGCTGACCACATAAGGGTGATTCTACTGGTTAACCAGTAAGGGTGATTCTACTGGTTAACCAGTAAGGGTGATTCTACTGGTTAACCAGTAAGGGTGATTCTACTGGTTAACCAGTAAGGGTGATTCTACTGGTTAACCAGTAAGGGTGATTTTACTGGTTAACCAGTAAGGGTGATTCTACTGGTTAACCAGTAAGGGTGATTCTACTGGTTAACCAGTTATTGTCTCCTGTTTTAATACTAGAGCTGGATTCTGTAAACACTTAAAGATCATTTAAAAACAAAGGTGAGTGAAAATTTCAACAATAAGAAAATAACAAATTTTAAGAATGTATGGGCCGTTATTTATTAACTTCATGGATTTATTATTAGAGATGAGATGTGTCTGGTTGTAGAGGGGGACGCAGGAACAAAGTAAGAAAAATGTTAAAAAACAAATTGTTTGTGCTGCCTGTGTTGTTGTATCTATGCATTACTAAGTCTAAAAGTATGTAGTTATTTTATTAAACTTGTTCAACTTCATTAAATACAAAACGAGTCTCCCAGCTTCTGGCTACCTGTAGGAGTTCAGACATAAAAGAACCCCAAGAGCAAGAGAGAGTTGTCCTCCAAGGAAAACTAGTGCCTGCTTCCTGGTAACATCCCCTGCTGCGATGGGTCGAGCAGCTGTCCGTGCCACCTGTACACAAACAGGAAATCTCACCACACAACGAGCAAAGTGCATCACAAATATGCAGTTTTGCATTAACACTGTGATACGTGTAGTGTGCAGTGTGACTGTGGTGATGGGAGTGAACTCTGATTATAATCGTCTCAACAAACATAGAAGATTAAAGTTAAAGAGCAAGTCACCCCCAAATAAAAATTATTTTGCTGATAAACTAAATAAATGAGTGTCTAATCGTGCTGCAGACACGTGTCGTCAATAATTTGGTACTTCAGTGCATCTTAGTTAAAATTTAAATGTTCTGCCTAAAACTGTCAGTGTTGTGCCGTTGTCAGGTAAAAACTCTGCACTGTATTCTAATTTAAATCTGCCACCGTTATTGGCTAAGAGGTATGCTATGATGTAAACTGGTACATTATGATGTCACAATGATGTCATGAGCCTGTGTGTGTATTTGTTAGCGGCCCCGCCCTCTCGGTCTGCCAGGCAACAGCATTTGTTGCATTTTTCAAACATGAAGTGGGAGTGGAGTTAGACTCTGGTAGGGGGTGACTTGCTCTTTAAAGACAGAAACGTGATTCTCCATAAGTATTTACATTTAAAAGACATAAATAAGCAGTAGTGGTGTGTGTGTGTGTGTGTGTGTGTGTGTGTGTGTGTGTGTGTGTGTGTGTGTGTGTGTGTGTGTGTGCCTAATGATGCATATTTGGGAGTGCTGATTGATGTCTTTCAGGGGTATGTGCGTCTGTATGTGCATATTTATATGTAAAGCAATGTGTGTGTATGTGTGCATAAAACAAAGTCAAAGGACTTAACAATACATTTTGTTGTCTGCATGGATAACATTAAATATTAACCTGCTTTTGTTGTTATTTGTCATCTTTTATATATATATATATATTATTCTGAATATATAAAATATATATATAAATAATATATATATATATAATATATATATATATTATATATATATATATATATAATATATATATATATATATATTCAGAATAATGTAATAAATGAAATGAAAATAAAAAATACATTTGTTGTATATGGTCAGAAAAGATTATTATGGAGATCTAAATGCTCTAATTTCATTGCAGTTTTATTGAGAGTGCACATTTGCTTTCATCTGAAAAATGTGGAAATATGAAATATTTGTGTTTGTTTCAAAGAAGTCAGGTGAAAAACGTAACATTTTAAAACATTATGAACGTCTGTTTTTGGCACCCATGCTTGCTTTCTACTGTAGGGCTTCATAATTTATTGTGCATTTATCGTCATTACGTTTTTAGATTGCAATAAATCACAGATTGAATTCGAAGTGACCTGAATTTTACTGCTGATCTGATGGACTCTCACTGCCCACAATGAACTGCATCTAGTTTGGATGAGAAGCATAAACACTAAAACACAGAAAGCGTTTTGATAAAAGAATATAAAAAATTTGAAAAAATTTAGGTTTAATGCAATATTATTGCACTATTTATTATTAATATTACAACATTTTAATAGTGTGCAGGCAGCCCTATTCCGTTGTTACCTAAGCATGTCATTTTATATTTGAATGTTATTCTCACATACTTGTTTGTCAAAGTCTTTATCCCACATGTCATTGATTGTGCAGCCAGCACCCCTCATCAGCAGAGCGCCTGTCCCAAACAGGGCGAGCATGCCCACATCTGGGAGACATCCAGGTTCTGCAGCCAGAGCAATGCTCCATGTACAGGGAAGATACAGCAACCAAGTCCCTGCAAATCAAGCACTGTGGTATAAATAAATGGACTAATGTATGCTGTAGGGCTGGGCGATATGGCCTCAAATCATTATCACGATATATTGAGGATTTCACCTCGATAACGATAAATGGACGATAACTACAGGTGTGCGCAGACAAAAGTTGTCCCCTAGAAGGGGCTGTCACATGTATCACCTAGTCTCATTTTTATGTGCCTTTAAGTGGTACAGCTTCTTAAAGGGACATGAACGTTGCTAACCTACACACATTTTCATTTTTTTATTATCAAATTCACTGACATGGGAAAAATTATCTCGATAAAAGTCACAAATTTCGATAATGATACATTTCTGATTTATCGCCCAGCCCTAGTATGCTGTAAATAGGTTACTCAGAAACAAATGCAAAACTGGGTGTATGAACAAGTGCTGAAGCAAGTGAGTTTACTCTCAATGGCTTCAAATAAATTGGAAAAACAAACATTGAGAGGTTGAATAAAGTATAATTTGAAAGAAAGATAAAGCATTACTGCCTTTTCTACTTTATTTCAGACTAAAACTTAAAATATGTGTTAAGATGTAGACAGTGAACACTAGCTACTTTACAAGAGGCACCACACATTCACATATGTATGTAAATAGAAGCAAATAAACGTGAATTAAAGCAGAAATGTGAGGGTCAGTGGCTTTTGATCTAAAATATTGCGACATGTGATTCATATGATGTTTGGTTGGAGAAAAATGTGTTTTACGTAAACAATAAATGTACAAACCGATGGGTTTATCTAGCCTCATCAATCGGAGGTATGGCTGGACACGAACTGGAGCTGAGTTCACAACAGAAGCAGCCGAAAAACTGAAAGATCTTCTCCCACTGAAACGTGTTTCTCGTAGCTTTGCAGACAAACAGATTGAACTCTGGTGGCACAACGCTCCTCTAAACATAACAGAAAAAATGTGTACTCCATCTGTTTTCCTTGATGTTTGGTTATGAATGAAGCAGTTAGACAGAGCTGGGAGACGAGGAGGACAGGTCCTAAATCCTTTCAGTACGGTCAGAGTCGAGCTGCTGGGTAACTTAGCTGGGAACATTGTGATTCAACCAAGGATCTTAATTTTTATGTTCAAAAAGTCAAAACAGAACAAGAAAAACTAGCTTGGAGTGAAGACTGGTCACCATTACAGCAAATCGACTCTACTTCCGCATTTACTCTGCTGTTGTTGTCCGTGACGATTATTGCTCCGGTGGAAACAACATAAGTAGGTGGAATGAATAATTAGTAGCACATTTTGAAAATGGATTATACTTTTAACAGTGTACAAATAAGTACTTTTAAAATAATTTAAGTTGAAAGTTTGCACGGTTAAAATCATTATTGTCCGCATTCATCTTTATATGTAGCTGTCTTGGTTTTTAAATGAGACAAGAATTATGGCATCATTGTTTAATGTGAGAGAAAGACAATAAAAGTATAATTTTTATGACAATTTTATGAGAATAAATAATAAATCAATGTACAAGTTTAAACTGTGGGCGGCAGTAAAGACCTCACACGAGACGTTCAGGTTCAGATGGAGAGGTGGATCTTGAGGAGGAAGACAATAGCTGTTGCACCGCGGGAAAGATGGCGGAAACGTGAGGTTCGTCCGCGTTATCAACAACAAAAGCCTTTCTAAACATCACAGACTAGCGTCGTGTTTCTCATTATACGTGAGTACATTAAATATGTCCAGAGTTTGCTTCCGCTTGCGTTTTTGCCAACCTGACTACGTTTGGTTAAGTTTTGTAGTTTCTTTCTAGCGAGGACTCATTTTACGCTTCCTTCCTGTCGACCGTGTTTGCAGAGAAAGTTAAACAGACCCCGTTGTTTTCTGGACTCGCTAGTATATTTGTAATGAAATACACACACGCAGCTTTGCGTTGTTTTCTAGTCTGTTGTGTGGTTATTTATCTAGGAGTTGTTGCGAACTGATAACTAAGTAGTTGTGGAGCATAGACGTATTTACTTCTGCCGTTTCAGATGCTGTACAGCTGCCTCTTTAGCCAAAGCAAACGAATAAGGAGTACAAGATGCAAAGCGGTATGTTTTCTAAATTCAATACTTTTTATCCAAGTCAAGCTGTATGCTTCAACTCCTTTTAATATGTTTTACTTTTAGATCAAGGGTCGAAGTCCCATCATTGTCCTAAATGTTCACTCGTCTTCAAATCTAAGGTCTATCTTTTTGATCATCTCAACAAAGTGCATTGTTTAAATGTTGATGCTGCCCTCACAAGTGCTGGCTTGAAAACCGCTGATATTCAAAAAGCCGCCGCTGACGAGAGCAGATGTCCAGAAAATAGTGTTTTCAAGTGTCAGCTCTGTGATTTTGCAGCTTTTAATCTGGACGTTTTAACCGAACACAAGAAACAAAACCATGAAAACCCGACAGAGTCTGTAGTCAACCATGAAACGGAGCCTCCAGAATCCAAAATAATCAACACTTCAACAAACCAATGCAACAGTGAAGCGGAGGATGAACCCTGCATTGAGACTGACCCAGTACTTAACTGCACATCTAACTCGTCCAAGGATCTCCGAATGTACAAGAGGCCGCTGCAAACTGCCACAAAAGTATCTTCTGGATCACCTGATTTAAATGAGCACCCCTACGCAAAGGTAACTGATAATTCCAAAGGAACTATAATTTTGCAGGAAACGGCCTCGTCCAGCCTCAACCCCATCTGGAGCGGTGTGTGTAAAGTCACTGCAATGTCTGTGATTGATATCTCCCATGTCCAAGCTGATCATCATCTGCAAGAAGATCAACTTAAGCCTAAGGAACAAAACAAAGAAGTTCATAATCAAGGGGACAAGAGGGGAAAAGGACTACTAACCCCTGATTACAACTTTGAAGGCCCTTCTGCTAAAAAATTCAAATCAAAAAATCGGGAGACCGAACTTCCAGAAAGCAAACACGCTAATCAGCAACCATCAGGTGGCACCGAGTTTTCTTTTGAAGTCAGTGATGACGAAATGGAGAAGAGTTCTGTCCTTGTTAAGGAAAACCCACCAAACCCAAGAGTTTTCTTCTGCAAGCTCTGCGATTACAGTGATGGGAGCTTTAAATGTATAATATCCCATTATCAGAATTACCATCCTTATGTAAGATCCAACTCGTCCTTCATTCACGACTCAAATGATCAAAGTGCAACCTTTCGTTGTCTCGAGTGTCCAGTTGAGTTTCCAAGTTCAGTTGATCTCAAGTGGCACTACACCGAAAAGCATCCAGAGGCTCCAGATGTGTTTAACCTGCAGTTAAATGAGCTCAGCTTGGCTTTTAAGTGTTTTTCATGCTCATTTACCACTAATAGATCAAAAGCTTTAGGAGAGCATTACAAGGAAAAACATCCAACATGTGAAATAGATAATTCTTTGTTGTTCTGTCAGTACTCGGTAAGCAAATGCCAGGAGGAGTCACCCCAGGTTCAAACATGTCAAAAAATACCCAGTCCGGAAAAGTCCAGAGAGCTGTCTCCTGAGAGGGTCGTAACGCCTTGTAAGGATGTGAAGGATGAGCCTTCACCACAGCAACCCTCCCCCATGCCAGCAGGGACACTGTATAGATGCAAGAAGTGTGAGTTCACGCATAAGTCGTCTATTGTTATGCATGTGCATTACAAAAGAAAACACCCAAATAAGAAAGTCACTTTAGATGAAATTAAACAGGCAAACCACAAAAATTCCCTTGAAACATCACCGATGATGCCTGAAAACGAGTCTTCGGAGAAGGCAAATGACAAACCGGAGAAACCTCTGCAGATGAAGATTAAGTTACCGCCACTGGAGTCCAAACCCAGGGTTGCTAAGGATCTCTCAGAGTCATGTGCACCTAAGCAAACTGAGTCTGTGCAGGATGAAACCCTGAATAAGTCACCTAAACCTAACAGAAGAATGACTTCTGAGTTGGACCATTCAGTGCCAGGTTCAGCGGAGGAACTATATTACTGCATGCACTGTGACTACACAAACACCCAGCTGAAAAGTGTTGTTGGGCATCATTGTTCTAAACATTTACCGGCGTCTCGGCAAGACATCATAGAGTATAGTGCTGATGTTAGAAACAAACTGACGAGTACAAATTCTGCTAAAGCCCGAAAGGGGACTAAAAAAAGCAAAAAGGTTAAATCTCAGTATGAAGAGGAGGAGGATGTAGATGCCTCGGGGCAAAAATCTGATGATTATAGAGATGCAGAAACTTTGTTCTACTGCCAAAGGTGCAATTTAGGCAATCCAACCTTACAAGGAGTCCTCAATCATCAAAACCAAGTCCATGAGACCTTAACTGTCAAAGCTGAAATAATCATGAAGCACACAGCTTCAATTCGTTCAAATATTAAAAGGTCAAAATCCCGTGGAAAGTCTAAATCTCCTACATATCTACCGCTTCCTATTGTTAACAAAGGAGACGAAAATAAGTATTTCTGTAACTTATGCAACTTTAGACAAGCAAAGCTGGTCCAGGTTTTACAACATTACTCCAAAACACATCAAGGCAGTGCCAATAAGTCTGCTGTTGTCCAACAGTACACCAACAGAGTTCTCAAGTGGCTGCAGAAGTCCCTCTCGAAAGCAGCGGCAAATCACGAGCTGCTGCAGAAAACTGAGAATGGAAAGAACAAAGCCAACAATTCCATCAAGTCTTCTAGTTCAGTGCCACCAGCAGCAGCAGGACGCTCAGACACACACAGGAACCTGAAGTGCAACACTTGCTCGTTCAGTACTCCCTATGTGTTTCTTTTGAGGGCACATTTACGGAACACTCATCATTCAAATCGACCGGTCAAAGACGTTTTGGCGTTCTGCTTTCGGCAAGGAGCGATAAAAGAGGGCTACCACTGCGAGTGGTGCGTTTTCAGTCACAAAAATGCAAATAGAGTTTATAAGCACTACCAGGAATCGCACCCTCAACACACGTCAAGCCTCGAGTACATTCATGCTCGGTTATATGTTGGGCCCAAAAAAGAGCTACTGCAAAAGGATACGCCCAAAGTAGAGTCGGCACATCCTGGAGATGGTGCAGAGGACCGTTCAGCGTCCAAAAGTTCAAAGCAAATTGAAAGTGAGACATATTCATGCACCAGATGTTCTTTTAAAAGTAAATCTAAGTCAGGTCTTTCACGGCATACTAACGAAATTCATCCCGTACTTGCGAAAGACAGCCGAGATTCCCCGAGTCGCAAGGAAGCAAGTGCAAGAAGTCAACTGGAAGAGCTCAGTGAAATGCCCGGGGTGTTTGAGTCTTTCCAAGTGCCTCTTGAAGAAACAGAGGAACCAATAACATCTTCCACAGCGTCTGATACCAAGCACAGTCCCACCACTCACTCTCCAGCAAACCGTGGAAAATCGTTCGATGCAAAAAAAGGGGGGGGGGACCCTGCAGACACCCAATCACAGATACACGTCTTCAAATGTCGATATTGCAACTACTTCAATACTCTTTCTCAGGGCATCCTCACCCATTGTTACATGAAGCATCCATCCCTCACCTGCAAGACGGACAGCCTTCATTTGAGTCCAGCTCGAATACATAAGTGCAGGAGAACGAATGAAGCCGGTGAGAATGTGAAATTCAGCGGGTACATGTGTAAAACCTGTCCTCAAATCTTCGAATCGAAGTACGGACTGAACAAGCACTGTGAGCGGGAGCACAACAAGACGGTCAGACCTGTTAGTAAAGTCAAATCGGCCATAACCCCAGCTAAGCCTTACAGCACGCACGAGTCCGTGTCCAAGGCCTCATTCTTTAGTAAGCACAAGTACACCAAAGTCAAGTGCCAGCACTGTTCGGTCTTTTGCAACACAAAAACTGCTCTCCATCGCCACATGCAAAAGGAGCACCTGAATACGTTCTCAAAGGACTGCCTGTTCAAGTGCATGCTGTGTCACAAAACCTACTTTGTTAAAAATAAACTCCGAAGCCATTATCTGAAGTTTCACGGAAAGCCTGCCTTGTTGAAGCATTATGTACCGGTGCACGAGCACCCGTCCAGCCAGCCAGAACCTCGGGACCGCCTGCAAGAGCAACTCAAGTCAACCGAAGGAAAACTGTTGATCTACAAGTGTCCACGCTGCTCGTACATTCATGTAAGCCACCATGGGATCCTCACTCACTGCCAAATGAAGCATCCAACACATGTAGCAAGAGGCCATAAACTCGAAACGGGTGAAATATTGATCTCCGATATTGTCAAGTGTTCCGATGGAAAGGGAAAATACCAAAGAGGTTACCAGTGTAAGGAATGTCCTCAGATTCATCCCTCTATGGCCAGCCTGAAAGCTCACCAATGTAAACATGGGAAGGTGGCGGCTTCGGATGACTCGCTGGAAAACCCTCCAGCTTCAGAGTCTGAACCTGGACCCTTGAAAGACCAACCAGTGAGAGAAAGTACCGCAGAACCCGTCCCCAGTTTGAGCACGACGAAGAACAACGAATGTTCGTACCAGTGCCAAGTCTGTACGTACAAGACGTCCACCCGACCGAAGCTGCGGGATCACTACAAATACACTCACAAGTTTAATGCAGCGTCTGTGTACAAGCTGCTGGAAAAGTACAACAAACGCAAACGCAACTACCTGCTCGCCTACGCCGAGTACAAGAAGAGCAGAGACATCAGATGTAAGGTGTGTCCAGACCTGCTTTTTGAGTCATGCCAGTTGCTCATCGACCATTATAGTACTTTTCACAAGTTGAACAGCAAACTGGACTTCACAGTGCTGTCGCTTGGACTGAAGTATAACACCACAGGGCTGTACAGGTGTGCAGAATGTTTGATACAGTTGAACGGCACCAAGAAACTCTGCTATCACCTGGATCGCCACAAAGAAATGGTGACGACTAAGCGGAGAAAGGCTACACTTGCTGTCGGTACGTCGCTGGATCCTAAACCCAGCGAGGTAAGTTGATGGCACACTCCTGATTTTTGTTTCTGCCTCACCTCGGAGCTACGTTTGTGGCTTGGTCACTGTGAGTTTGGGTCACTTGCAGGTCCGCAGACGAGATAAAGGGCCCACGTTTGAGCTGTCCAAGTGGAGCAGCGCACCAGCTGAGGCCATCGTTCCACCGCCGAGTCCTCGGTCCCCTGACAAAATCACCATGGAGGAGTCTGAGGCAGATAACCAACATCCTTGTCAACGGTGTCACCGAGCATTCAAGTCACTGAGAGCGCTGCAAACACACGAGCGCGGCCACGCAGCGCTAGCTGCCATCCGGAAACGGGACCGAGTGTCAAAGCTGAATCAGGAGTAAGCGAGTCTGTAGATGTCGAACGGTAGTTTCTGACTCTGGTTTTATTTAGTTTGACCTGCTATCAGACATAAAGGTGGGGTTCAGGTGCATCAGTGCTACTTTGTGTTGTCAGATATTTCATCGTTGCTTTCTTTCTCCAGCATCAAAGAGTTCATTCTGTACAAGTCCGGGACTTCCAAGCCTTTCCGCTGCAGCTGCTGTATTTATCGGACCAACATCATCAATCTCATGCGAAGTCACGTTCTGAAGAACCATCAAGGTCTGGCATGTTTCTTGAGCTTCCTCTCCTGTATACGACATCCCGCCCTGCGTGGAAGAGCTGCTGGTAGCTCTGTTGCCTCGCAGGCCAGCTGCAGCTGACTGTTTTATTATGGTTGTGTCCAGACTGCTCCTCGCTACTACGACCACTGAATCCCCTCTGAATAATTTATGGTTTCATGTTCAGATATCATTCAGAGGACCAAGGAAAAGGAGGAGAGCAGCAATGAAGACGAGGAGCAGCCTCAGGGGGAGGAAATGGAGCCTTCTGAGTCGTCTGAGAAGAGGAACTCACCTGAACCCGACGAAGACCCGGAGGAAACTGAAGGCGAGTCCCGATGTTGAGTCTAAGCACGTTGTGAGTGAAGCTTTTGCTCTGGAGGTGTTGGCAACCCCCATGTTTTGCTCTCCGACAGAATCGGAGTACTCGGAGCACGCCGATGTGCAGCGGCAGCTGAACCACTACAGCCTCGTGGCGCAGAAGAACGATAAAACCAACGGAAACGTTTTGAAGTCGCTCTTCCTTGAAAACTGCACTCTTTACTGTGAAATCTGCACTTTCAACACAGAACATCTGTCCAGCATCCGACGGCACTACATGAACCGGCACGGGAAAAAGCTGCTCAAGTGTAAAGACTGTGAATTTGTCACTGGCTTACGGTGAGCTGTTGCCCCGTGGAGCTCTGTGTGGTGTTGGGGTGTTGGCGCTGTCGCAGCTTGGTGTGAACCCGCGGGTGTTCACACTGCTGGTGGTGTGTGGCGCTCTGCTTCTACCAAAATATAAGATTGATGTGCCAAGTGTGTAAAACGGTTTAAGTCATGAACTTTCACACATTGTTCCAGTCTTAATAAGCACCTCTGCAGTTAAACTAGTTCAGATTATAAAATAACTGCATTGCTGTAGAAAATGAGACCGAATCGTAACGGCAGAGGAATAAAGCCATCAACAAGCACGTTGCACATCATCCGGTAGGAGCACGGGTCCACTGGCAGCCGTGACATCACACGTAGATGAAACGAAGAAGGGCTGGAGCAAACTGGTCCTGAAAGCTCTTTGATGGGTTCAAACTAAAATAAGTCACATTTCAACAAGAAATGTCTGTAGAGTTGCGGCGTGCTGCTTTCTGAGGTCGACACGCGCAGGTGTACATGATGAAGGACGCTGGACGCTGGAACGAGCAGCAGTTTAGTTTAAAGCTGCTGAGGGAAACGCCCAAAGAGAGGTCCCCCCCCTCTTATGGGCCATTCCCATCAGTACCGGGTCGGCCCGGGCCGGGTAGCGTAGGTTGTTTACATATCTGGGTGGCCTGGTATTGTTCCGGGCCAACCAAGGCTCATTCTCAGCCCTCTTCTGGAGGGGGTCTGCTTCAGGCCGACCAGGACCAACACACCCACTGCTGACAGCAAATTCACACCTTCCATTAGAGCAGGCCTCTGATTGGTGGGTAGAATCAGCCCACATGGGCTTAAGGCAACCGGGCCAGGCTGGGCCGACTGGGGCTACCCGGCCCGGGCCGACCCGGTACAGATGGGAATGAGTTAAACATCAGGAGAGATCACTAGTTTGTAATTCTTTTCTTGTCATTGAAATGTTTTAAATCTGCGGTTTTCTTCCTTCTCGTGTTTGTTAGGAAAACTCTGGAGCTGCACTCACAGATGGGCCATTCCACCTGCGAGTCCAAACCCACGCATCAGCAGATCATCCGCTGTCCCTTCTGCCTCTACCACTCCAAGAACAAGAACAACATGATCGACCACATCGTCCTGCACCGTGGTACGGCAGCCGCCTTCACTCCCCTCACTCACCTCTACTGCATGTCTCCTTATCTCCACTCCTTTTGGCTCTTTGGTTTCCAGAGGAACGCGTTCTACCTGTTGAACTGAACCGTCCCAAACTCTCCCGTTACTTAAGGGGAACGGTCTTCCGCTGTCACAAATGCACCTTCTCCAGCGGTAGTGCTGAAACCCTGCGTCTGCATATGCTGAAGCACGGCGGCGGCATCCAGCCGTACCGGTGTCGGCTGTGCTACTTCGACTGCAGTCAGATGGCTGAGCTGGAGGCACACCTGAGTGATAAGCATCAGGTGAGGATTAGTCTCCAAGGCCTTCTCCGCATCACTGAAATTCCCCGGGAAGTTAGCAGCTGTACTCCAATGAGAAGCTCAGATAGTGATGTCAGTGGTGCTCTGTGGGGCTCGCTGGTGGGATCCATTTAACTGGTGTTTCTTTACTGGGCAGGTCCTGAGGAACCATCAGCTGGTGAGCCAGGTTGACGCTTGCATCCCTAACGACAAGCAGGCAGAAAATAAGGAGTCTGTTTCTGACCGTGATGAAATTCCTCAAAATGACCTCATGGCAGAGTACGGCGCTCGAGACACCATGTTTCTGCCCATCGAGGAAGCACACGTGAAGCAAGAGCGGGAGGAGGAGACTTCTGTATCGGACGTTCAGCCTGATGATGCCCAGCCACAGAAGAAGCGCCAGCAGGACTCGCCAGCAGCAGACGTGCATGTGGCTTTTGCTCTCTCTGCTGAAGGAGAAGGTAAAAGCATGCACGAGCGCCTCGGCGGTCTAGAGGAGGAGGAGAATCCAGCAAGACTTACAGGTCAACTGAAAGAGGAAGCAGAAGAAGCACAGGTCGATGGGCTGGGCTTTCAAGAGCTTCAGCAAAAAGGGCAAATCAGCGAGGCCACTTCAGAGGACGACGCAGAGCGTGGAGCCTTACCGCAGGAAGAAGATGGCAGCAGGTCACACGGCTGGGAAGACCGGAAGCCGACCATCAAAATAGAAAAAGTAGAGACGGTGTGTGCTGATCAAGACCTGAGGGATGAGGAGGGCAGCGCCGCCTGCTCGCCGAACCCCACCACCAACTCTGTTTCAGCAAATGTGAGCAGTGCACAGACAACTCCAGGGGGTTTGACGTCCGAGAGGCGTTCACTGACCCATTCCACTCGCTACACACAGCAGAAGTTCGACTGGAAGAGCCATGTGGGTGCTGGGTTGGAGAGCTGTGAACCAGAACCAAAGCAGACTCCATCAGACTGGAAGGACACGATAGAGCCTCGTGGAGAAGTGCCAGCACCTGAAACCGAGCGTCACGAGGAGCAGCAGCAGGAGGAGACGGAGCTCCTGGCGCAGAAGCAAGATGCAAAGGATGAGACTCGATGCAAGGAGCAGGACATTCCAAATATGTGTGATGGTAAGGATATAGATACGAGTCTGTATTTCCAGTTTAAACAGGAAAATGTGGCTGCACGGTAAAGACAACAGAACCTTTAATACGCTCTTCACCTCTTCTCTCCACAGCAGACGAAGCTGCTGGAGTCCCGCGTGTCGACAAACCGTTCACGTGTCATTTCTGTGGGCGAAACCTGCCTAACGCCGCTGAACTGAAGCGTCACGTCAAGCGTCACGGATTGTAATCCCGTTGTTGCTGTTTGGATGTTGTCTTTAGCTAACGCCGCTACTGAACTGGCTTCCTTGTGGATCTGAACCCTTTTGCTGAGGAGCTCCACTAAATAAAACTTCAGAACAAAACGGAAGTCACAACAAATGTTTAGACTTCGTTTAGTTTTTATCACAGTTTTAAGATTAGAGTTCAGCAGGAGTTATTTTTAAATCAAAAATATAAAGTATTACTGTTATTTCCACCAATCCTGTGTTTTTAATCCTTTCTGTATTACACCCGCTTCACTTCCTGCTCTTTATGTTGGTTGTGCTGCCTTCAGGCGCTTTTGGATGTTTGACTTCTGTCGTCTCATTTCAGAAAACTTGGTCTGCGTTTTTGTTTTGTGACACGAATAAACAAACGTTTTTCACTCATCAGCCATCTTCGTAGTTAACAACAGTCCACTGGCTCTGTTAGCGACAAGCTAGCAGCCTAGCTGCAGGGCTGCCCGCTCTCGCCCGCTGGGCGTGAGTGACTGTTTTCACCCTCTCACGCCACACTTCTAATTTCTCACGCCGACTAAAAGTTTAAGCTTTGCTGACCTTCAGATACATGATGGAGTTATATAAATGCGGACAGAATGGGATGCACGAAATGTCGTTAATATCTTTCTTGTCATTTTTAACACGACTGGACCGATGTGAACTACCAGTATTTTCTCCCAGCATGTTTGCGGGTGTGTGTCTGTTTCAGAGGTGGAGGTGGGTGATGATGTGTAATTGCTGTGTCATGTGACCTTAATAGTAATCATCTCGGAAGCGTGTGTGTGTTTGTGTGTGTGTTTGTGTGTGTGTGTGTGTGTTTATTAGACCGACGCTTTGATCCAAAGCGATGCACGATCGGTAACCTGGGGCGTGTTGTGGTCTGTGGGGGGAAACCCACGCACACACGGGGAGAACACGGAGAAAGGCCACAGCCGAGTTTCGAACCTGCAACCTTCTTGCTGCGAGGCAACAGTGCTAACCACTGCGCCACCACACAGCCCAAATAATGTATATAAACACACACACACACATAAAATCTAGTTTGCACTTCATCAAAAATTCAGCTTGCATAATTTTCAGTCTGACATCTGCTCGTTTCAGGAGCACGAGCGTCCGCGTATGGACGTATAAACGTTTTAGTATCGGCCGTAACAGCAACGTTAATATCTGTATCATCCCAAAGTCTCGGTGCATCCCTCATTAAACCGTTGTTGTGGGTTTTTCACATCGATAACTGATGACCGCATCCATCTGCCTTCATGTGTCGTTTCACCAAACCTGACCTGACTGGCAGCCCAGCCTGAGTGCAGCTTCTGTAATACGGGAGAAAAACTGGGTTTGCTAATTCTTTAAAGGGGCAGCGTGTAAGAACAGAGAACATCCCTCACGAGCTAATGTTTCAGTCACTGTGGAAGGAAGACGTGCGGTTAAAGGTGGTTTGGAGTATGAATGAGTGAATGCGTGTGATGTGATGCTCAAATGTGTGTTACTTTACGACGATGGCAGAGGCTTGTGTATGGAGATAATGACAAATGTTCTTGAATTACCTAAAAAAGGGTTGAGGATGAACAACATTCAAGATCCTGGTTCTGGTCTATAGGGCCTTACATGGACAAGCACCATCTTACATTGGTGATCTTCTCAGTCCCTACACCCCCAGCAGGTCCCTGAGGTCCAGTGATCAAAGCCTACTGGTTGTGCAGCACCAGGCTAAAGGTCAAAGGTGACAGATCGTCTGCTGCTGTGGCCCCCAGACTCTGGACCTCTCTCCCCCTGAGCCTGAGATCAGTGGACTCAGTGGTCTCCTTTAAAAAGCAGCTGAAGACTCACTTGTTCAAGCTGGCTTTTGTATGACCTTCTTCACCTCTCTCTCTTTATTCTGCTCTCCCCACCTATTCCACCTTCCTCAGGATCCACTGATCTCCCTCTTTCCTGTTCACTCTCTCTCTTTCTTAACATTCTTTCTTTTAAATCACAATTGCTCATTTTTGCTCATTTTAAATATATTTTTAAACATTTTCGAAATGCTGTTTTATATTTTTACATTTTTTATGTTTGTTTTTGTGAAGCGCCTCGTGATTTTTATCTTGAGAGGCGCTATAGAAATGATATTTTCTTCTTCATAAGACATAAGATGCAGGAAGCAGCAGAAACGACATCCAGATTTACAGATAATGGTTTTCTACTGAAACACTTAGAGGAGTCAGTAGTTAGCCAGGTGTAGAGGGGTGTCGTACATATAGAGCTGACAGGAATATAAAAGGAGGAGTGGCAGGTCATGTTGGAGATCACATACCAGTAAAGGTTAGAGGGGATTTAGAAGTAATCTGATTACAGGTGCATTTACCTCATTTAAAGCCGCTGTTAGTTGGGTGCTGTTACGCCCGCCTAATGCAGACGTGAAATATGTCAACATGTGAAGTGACTGACAGAGTGTGTGATGTGGATGATGGGATTTATTTACTGGGAGATTTTAATATTGACTGGAATAAAACATCATGTGCCAACAGACGTATATTGTTAGCGACACAAACTTGTAACGTGAAGCAGATGATCAGGAGCCCAACTAGGATAAGTACCAGGGCTGATGGATCAGGATCAGCCGCTTGTATTGATTTAATTTGTACAAACGCACCAGCAAAGTGTTCAAAAGCTACGACGGTACCGGTAGGCTGCAGTGATCAGTGTAGTAGCAACAGGCCGAAAGACAAAAACGCCTAAATCTGGTCAGAAGATCATTTTCAAGCAGATCTTAAAGAACTTGGAGTGGAATAAGCATTGCATGGATGTAAGCTGCATTGATTGGTGGATAATTTTGAAAGAGATTGATCCTAATGAGGCTCTAAGAGTTTTCTATAAATGATTAACGCCGGTCACTGAGAGACATGCACCAATAAGGAAAGTAACTGTGAGGAACTCGAAGGCTCCTGGTTGGATGAAGGCAAAGGCAGAAGCGATGAAGTCAGCAGACACGGTGAGGTGGGAGTCTTATAAGAAGCTGAGGAATCAAGTCACTAAATTAAGTAGAATAAACAGAAGAGTGTTTTAAATTGATTCTGTAAAAGGGGATAATAAAAAATGTGGAATACGATTAATGAATTAATGGGAAGAAAAGGAACAGCATCTGTTTTAGAAGTGGACGGGAGAGTTCTCACCAAGCCGAGAGAAATCGCTATTTCAGCAACTATCATAGCAATAAAGCTCTAAATATAAGGGAAGGACCTGGTTTTGTGCATAAAGATGATTATCTGGTGAATTAATAAGAGAGAAAATTATGGCAAACAAGACGTGTACATCTTCTTTTGTGACTGTAGATGCAGATAAAACAGCACAATTACTTCAGGATGGTGAAGAAAAACCAGCTGATGAATCGGAGATGAAGCCGGTAGCTGATTTAATTTCCATACCTGTGGCTCGCGTTATTAATACAAGTCTAGGAGCAGGTGTTTGTCCATTGGAATGGAAAATAGCCAAAATAATCCCAACACCAAAGAGCAATAGAGAAGGGTTAGGGTTAGTTAGCTCTTGGTAAGATGGAGTAATATGTGAACAGATTCAAGAGTACTTCTGTATAAATGGACTGAATTCATCAACACGCTTACAGGAAAGGGCTCCACGGCTACCGCTCTTGTGCAGATGACTGATGACTGGAAGACAAATAGATAATAAAATATTAGCTGGTGCAGTGCTGTTAGACTTAAGTGCAGCTTTTGATGTACTAGATGTGGTATTGGATAAGTTGCAGTGCTATGGATTTGAATCGACTGCCATAACATGGATGAGCAGCTTAGGATAGGAAACATGTAGTATATTTCAATGGAAGTTATTCTGAGCAAGTAGTGGTGAGCTGTGGGGTGCCTCAAGGGAGCGCTCTAGGATCATTGTTGTTTTCAGTCTTTATCAATGACTTACCTCTTAGTTTACATCAAGCTACTATTACAATGTATGCAGATGACTCCACAGTCCATGCCTCTGCAGACACAGATATGGATTTAAACAGGATTCTAAATGAGGAACTAGCAGTAATAGACACACGGATGACTAGAAATAAATTCGGTTTGAATAAGAAAAAAACAAAGTGTATTATTTTAGGATCTCAACGTTCCTTAAAATAGAACCCAGTGTTAATGGTAGGTGACACAAAAATAGAGCAAGTCCATCCATCCATCGTCTGAACCCGCTTTGTCCACGTAGGGTCGCGGTGGGCCGGTGCCTATCTCCAGCAGTCAACGGGCAATCAGGCAGGGAGAGAGCCAGTCCATCGCAGGGCAACACAGGACAAACAATCACACACACACACACACACACACACACACACACACACCTAAGGACAATTTAGACAGACCAATGAACCTAACAGACAGGTTTTTGGATTGTGGGAGGAAGCCGGAGAACCCGGAGAGAACCCATGCATGCACAGGGAGAACATGCACACTCCATGCAGAAAGATCTCAGGCTGGGAAGCGAACCCAGGACCTTCTTGTTGCTAGGCAACAGCTCTAACCACTGCGCCACTGTGCAGCCCTAGAGCAAGTCACGGATGTTAATTTATTGGGGGTAATAGTAGACAACCAAATGTCATGGAATAATCATGTTGACCAGGTATCGATGAAAATGGGAAGAGGGATTGCTGTAGTTAGAAACTGTAGAAAGTCTATGTCTAATCAGCTGCTAAGGCAAGTAGTCCAAGCTTTAGTTTTGGCAAATCTGGATTATGGTTCTGTAGTCTGGTCGAGTACATCGGTGGGTAACTTGGCCAGATTACAGGTAGCTCAGAATAAAGCGGCTTGTCTGGCTTTGCAGTGTTCATATAGTACTAGTATAAGTGTAATGAATTCTCGTCTATCATGGTTTTGTGTGAGAAATAGAATGAAGTATTCACTTTTGTGTTTTGTTAAGAGAGTAGTGATGACTAAAGTACCAGAAAATTTCTATTCTTCTCAGATATACATCATCATTCCACCCTAACGTCACTCTATAGAGATAAAGCTGCCGTCCCGGTGGAGGGTAACTCTGAAGTGCCTTTTTTCTTCCCTCCACCTGAACCAATCCTCATATAAACCCTCTGATCTCCATGAAGGTAGCGCGATTCGGGTTGCAAATGACCACAGTCACCAATTCTTGTCGTGTCTTTGTCTTTGCCCATGTATGTCTGATCTCTGAATTGTGTGTACTGAAACTCTAATTTCCCTCTGGGATTAATAAAGTATTGATTGATTGATTGGTTGATTGATTGATTGATTGATTGATTGGTTTGTGTTACCTAGGTGTCGAACAACTTTAAAACAAATAACTGTGAGTAACAGAGCAATGATGGCTTGGAACACGTTACCTAACTTTCTAGTATTGGAGGATAACTTAATTACTTACAAAAAGAAGTTAAATATATTTTTGTTGACTCAGCAGTAGAAGTGTTTTTATCTTAAGAAGAGCGTTAGATTTATGTTTTAGTTATGGGAATTGTTATTGAACATGTGAAGGAAATGTCCGAAATGGCTGATGCAGCTTTTGCCATGGTTTGTAATTATTGTGTAACTGGAGCAGATGTTTTTTTGTGTTTTTTGTTTTTGTGATGTGAGAATGTTTGAGTGAATTTTATTGTAAATATTGTTGCTGTATTGTGGTGTCGGACCGCAGGAAGAATGGTTGGTGTAAGAAGCAGCAGCTAATGGGGATCTAATAAATAAATAAATGAAATATCCATCTGCTGCGGGCATTGTCAGTTTTTCTCCTTTCAAAACAAAGGAAGGAGGGACGAAACTACTCGGTGAGCGTGGGGTTGCCGTGTCTCCTGCGAGCTAATACTGCAGCGCCCACAATTATAATTTGATGAAGGCTGGTAAAATTCTCCAGAGTGGTTTAAAGTGGTTGCAGTAGCCAAATATTACTACAGGATGTTATTTTTGCTTCATTTCTACATAATGCACCTTTAACAGCAAATTCTGATTTTAAGAAGATAGTGTAAAGTTAATTGTTTAGGATTAAAACAACGCTCGGTTCATCATAAACGGTGACCATACACCTTTTTAAAAGGTATAGTTTTCAAGAAGAGATTATAAGATGATTGGGATAGATGCGTGAAGTTTGAACTGTAAGATAAAACTCATCATTAACCCTCTGGAGGCAGGCGTTGCAGACTTGCAACGTTTAAACCTGCCTGCCTGGTTACTCCACACACGTGTTTCAGGAGCATTTTCAACTCAGAAGTTCTCCTGAAGGACTCAGTTGTTCGTCCTTTTATCAGAACTTGTTGTGAGCCTGAGAGGGTTAAAGGAGAAAGCTTATTTAGGTGTGAAGCTGAAAATTACGAGCCGCATAGGATCCCTTGAAGGGGGCGTTTTTATATGAGTCGTGATTACGTCACAGCTCGTCATCCTAATGAAAGAAGTCACCAGTTCCTGGTCTGGGTCCTCTGTTTTGGACCGATGAGGCGGAGAACCGCGTGAGTTCTGCATCAGACGGAACTATTGTAAGTAAACTCGCTGATTTTCGAAGTTTGTTGGTGAAAAAGTTTACAAAGAGGGGAAGCTGCTCGGTTTTACTGTTTTACCTCATCCACTCAACTGTCCTGCTGTCAGAGCAGATGTTTATCCTGAAAGCGTTTTCCTTTGGAGGGGCGGCTCTGGTTGGGTCCATAGATATGTATGTAACATGTATTTATATGTATGTAACATATGTATGTAACATGTATTTATATGTATGTAACATATGTATGTAACATGTATTTATATGTATGTAACATATGTATGTAACATATATGTATATGTATGTAACATGTATTTATATGTATGTAACATATGTATGTAACATGTATTTATATGTCGATGATGTAAACGTGTTTACGTCATCGACATATAAATGGATTGGATTGGATTAAAGTTTCAGTAACTTTTATATGTTGGTAGTGTGTAATTCTGGCTTCGTGTCTTTCATTAGTTAGACTAATTGTATTAATTAGTTATCAAAAATAACTTAAAGTAACTTAGTTACTTTATGGATTACTTGATATATGTAACTAAGTTACATTACAAGTTGCTGTGTTAGTTCCATTCAGCACCAAAGTCCTGTTTTTGTTGTTTGCTACTGTAATATTACAGTAAAGTAACAACAAAGATAAGTAGGATAGCTGTTGTCAGCGTATGTGTGACTGTATGGATTACACATTCTGACTGCATATGCGGGGGGGGGGGGGGCAGGACGCTGCATATACTACGTGTAGTATAGAATAGAATAAATATGGTGTTTATAATTATTTACTTTTCCAGTGTGTACTTTGTTTTTGTAAACTAGCACACGGTCGGAGGAATGTCTCCTGCCAACAGACCTGCGGAGGATGGAGGCTCCTTCTCATCGAAGGTCATCAGCTCTGTGTTCGTCATCCTGCTCCTGGACCTGCTGGGATTTACTCTCATTTTACCTCTGCTGCCGTCCATTCTGGACCATTATGCACAATCAGGGGTTGGTGGAGTTTTCTAAAATGCTTTCTGCAGCTGAGGAAGTGTGTGTTACGATGAATTCCCCTGAAAAGACTCTTCGTGTTGCAAAGCCTGTTAGAACAGAAGGATTTTTGTGTGATTTTCCTGCTTAAAAGCCAGAACTGTCTCATGAGTAATTAGATCAGGTGAGCCACTCTGAAGGGCGTGGCCTCTGTCTGATGGTTTCGTTTGCCTTTCTGGGCCAGGATGTAGCGTACCAGTCCCTCCAGGGTGTGGTGGACTGGTTCAGGGAGGCCGTCGGAATTCCAATGGAACAGAAATACAACACTGTTCTGTTTGGAGGTGTGTTGGACGGATTTCCAGCTGAAACTCATGCTTTCTAGTTGTGACGTTCCCTCTTTGTGCCTCTCAGGTCTGATCGGCTCGCTCTTCTCTTTGCTCCAGTTCTTGGCGTCTCCTCTGACGGGGGCGCTGTCCGACCGTCACGGCAGACGACCCCTCCTCATTCTAACCACAGTGAGTGTTTTTAATATTTGTGCTGTTCGTTCATCACCAGTTGACTTAACTGTGGGACGCCTTGTGTTCCAGTTGGGACTGATGTCCTCCTACGCCGTCTGGGCTGTGTCCCGGAGCTTCGGCATGTTCCTTCTGTTCCGGGTCATTGGGGGCGTCTGTAAGGGAAACGTCAGCCTCTGCACCGCCGTCGTAGCCGACCTGCCGTGTCCAAAAGCACGCAACAGAGGAATGGTACCGACTTGTAGCTAAACTCTGTCATGAGATTCCTTTAAAGATGAAAACGCTGTTATATTGTTCTAACCAGGCGATGATCGGCGTTGCCTTTTCCTTGGGGTTCACCGTCGGCCCCCTGATGGGAGCCTACTTCGCCATCAGCTCCAGGACGTCGGGAAACGTCTTCTTCCAAACTCCGGCTCTGCTGGCTTTGGCTTTCAGCGCCGCTGATCTGCTCTTTATTTGGCTGATGTTGCCAGAGACGTTACCGAACGACGTAAAGGTTAGTTTATGGAGCACAAACACAACCAGAGCTCATGCTTTTGCAACGTACTAGCTTGGAGATCTTCTAGTCATCAGAACTTAAAATTAGCATCAGAGTGTTTGTGGGACTTCAGGATTTACAGTAAAAGTGACTAAAAAGGTATTATTGATCGTTTCAAGACGTGTTTAAGCATTCTGATTCCTTATCCTGCACTTGAGCGTTTAAACGAATGTAAAAGGCTGCGTTGAGGTCTAAACTGCTGTCTAGGGTTAGGGTCCACCTGAGTCTCTGACCAATCAGAGCAAAGGCCCTTAACTAACAGCAAACATGTAAACCAGCTTCTATGAATCACATTTGTTATCGCTGAAGTAAAATAAAGGCGATTGTGTAACTTCCAGGAGGGAAGCTACAAGTTTGAGGCACGAAGAGGTCGATCCCGTCCTCACGTCCGTTAAATCCAACAGACTTGGTCTGGATGTGACATCTTTACATGAACACCTGAAGTTTTGTTTTTGACATGTTAGCTGAGCTACGGCATTGCAGAGGGTGAGACTGGCGCAGTAACTTCCTCCTCGTGGTGATGGTAACGGCTCAGGAAGTTGCAGGTGAGCTGATTCAGGCTTGAGAAGCTCATCAGGTTTACAAAACAAGGCGCCAGACCCAGAGAACCTGTTTCTTTTGCCCCTGGAAGCTCTTTGCATTACAACGTTGGCTAAAAACCTGCAAACGGGCTTCTTTCCTTATTAAGGCTGACTGAGGCTGAAAATGGAAGACGTGCTTTTTGTGGTTTTTATTTGCAGACTTCGACATCTGGCTGTGGGGACTCCTGGGATCTCCTCAGTCCTCTTTCTTTGTTCCACTTTTCTGCTGTTACAAGGACAAAAGATCCTCCGTCAGAAGACCGTGAGCAGGTCATGCTGGATGTCCATAAGGCATGAAGGGACTTTGGCACACTGACCGGAAGTGGGTGTGTGTTTTTACAGGAATGCAGAAGCTTCAGGTGTTGGGCTTGGTTTACTTCTGCTACCTCTTCCTGTTCTCTGGTCTGGAGTTCAGCCTGAGTTTTCTGACCCACCAGCGCTTCCAGTTCACAAGGTAGAAACTCCTAGGTAGAGTAAACCTGACGAGAAACACCGAGCAGGAACAGAAGAGAGATTTTATTTTTCCAACAGCATGCAGCAGGGAAAGATGTTCTTCTTCATTGGTGTGATCATGGCTCTAATCCAGGGAGGGTACGCTCGGAGGATCAAACCTGGCCAACATATAGGTGCTGTTCGGAAGGTGAGAGGACTAAATGTTGGAATCAGAAAGTTATTTTTATCTGTGACGGGATAAACTTCTGGTCTTAATCAAATCCATTTTTTCTTAGGCGATGATGACGTTAATTCCAGCGTTCGTACTCATCGGTTTAGCGCAGAATATAACAATGCTTTATACCGGTTTGGCATTGTACTCCTACGGTGAGTCAAGCTTGATTTGAAATGTTGATGATATCTAATCTTAGGAATATGTGTGAATAATACAAATATAACAGGCAAGCAGCCTCTATAAGGATGCTCAGTCGTTTTTCTGACCGAACAAACTCAGCCTTTTTTGTCATTTCATAACATATTAGTCAGTCAGCACCAATATGCTTTAGGTTTAGTGCAAAGTGGGGAGAGTCTTGGGAATATTTGATTGCACCTCTAAAAAGAAAGTTTAAAAAAGAATAAAAGCTATAAAAACACCTGAAATTCATCCATCTGGATGGAGTTGACGGATACTTCGTTTGGCCACAAGGGGGCGCTGTTTGTCCTGCTCAGAAACCCTATAAATAAACAAAATCGTTCAATTTAATCAGTCTAAAAATATTTGATTTATTCTGGCTAATGAAAATGAAAATAAGACTTATTTACATGATAAATGACGCTTGTTTTGTTCCTGTTGTTGCAGCTGCTGCAATAGTTGTGCCCTGCCTGTCGACACTTGTTGCAGACCACGGTGAGCCCTCTCATGATTTCTACTCGTTTTGATTTCACAACAGTGCTGACGTCATGGCTACTTTTCCAGGTTCGGCCAATCAGAAAGGCACCGTGATGGGGATCCTGCGTAGTTTGGGTGCTCTGGCGAGAGCATTTGGCCCAGTTGTGTCATCCTCCGGTAACGATGATGTCATAAATCGTCCACATTAAGCTTTAGAGCCATTTGTAAGGATATTGTTTCTGTTGTCTTTGCTTTACAGTTTACTGGATTGCAGGAGCACAGACGTGTTTTCTCATCACGTCAGCCGCTTTTATAATACCTCTGATTCTCCTGAGCAAAAACAGAAGTTTAAAGGACTGAGCTCCACAAAAACTTGATTTGCTGCCTTAAAAGGAAACTTGTGGTGTTTGCATTTTCTGAGAACAAATGCTGAGTTTTTACTCTTCTTTTTTCAGTAATCGTGTTTATTTTATGTGCTTTTTCTAATGAACATGTATTCCAAATAGGAGTTTATACTGAACATTCCTAGTGTGAGCAGGAAATGACTGGAAATCACTGTTTTCTGCACACGAAAACCGACCTTTTATACACTTCTATATGATCAAATATAATTTTAAAATGGTATTTTAAGTCAATTAAATTTAATATTTCATTTTTCTTCATGTAAAAGTGTTTATAAAGTATTTTAAGCTTAAAAAATGAACAAATGTATTTGTCAAAATAAATACCTCTCCTAAAATAATTAGTAAAGCTGCACCAAAAGATTCTGACTTTTTTCACTGAGCACTGATTGTTGGTTGTATTTTTCTACTTTATATCTTGTTTTTCAACACATGGAATTTTCACAGAAACATGGTTGACTCATCTGTGCCTGATGAATTTATCAAAACTAAAAATTGCTTTAGGGATAATTTTTTTTAGATTAAATATTATAAAAGGAACTTCAGCTTACCTATTCATGATTATTCAAAAATGATATATATTTTTTTGTTGTATTTCTAGTATTTACCCTGAATACTTTGACCCAAAGAAACTCAAGTTTTATTCTTTACAAAGTACAGATTTTTATTGTAACTGTTACAAATAAAAAAAATATTGGATTAATAGAAACGCTCCCTCTAAATCAGGGGTGTCAAATATGCGGCCCGCGGGCCGGATCCGGCCCGCAAGTGGGTTAAATCCGGCCTGCGAGATGGTTGGATAAACTTTATTTTCATACTTTACAATGTGGAGTGAAAATAAACATATCTTTGTGAGCAAGTTTTCTCTGTAATGAGTGTAAATAAAAAAAAGCTGCGCTCAAGGCTCACACAAGAACTTGAATCACATCCTGAAGATGGCCGCCACTCAGGATGTGACTCCTGATATTGATGTGCTGGTGAAGCTAACAGATGTAAAGTAAAATGAGTCAAATATACTTCAAGTGCTGCATGAAACTGATCTTGCCATGTGATCTGTAAGCACTGAATCACTAAGGAATATTTTTATTTGTTGATTTATTTATTTCAAATTTTCAAGTACACTTCAGGTGTTGTACTTGTACTATTTTGGATACACTGTCCTCAGGCTCCAGCCTTTTTTTATATTGATTGCTCAAAGAAAACAATCTGAAGTTGTTTTAATTTACCGGTTCGGCCCACTTGGGACTAGATTTCCCTCAATGTGGCCCCTGACCTAAAATGAGTTTGACACCCCTGCTCTAAATTTTTCCAAACACTGTTTTGTTGCCTTGAAAGAATGGGAAATTTGCGCCCTCTGCTGGCGAAAAACAACATATACATAATTTAGAAAAGAGCGCCTTCCAGTGCCTGAAAGCTGGTACTACACTTTTATTAATTTTAATCATATCAGTCTGGGTTTAATGAATGAATATAATAAACAAGTTTCACTTATTGAGTTACTGAAATAATGATATTCTGATTTTATGATCTGCCTGGCCACACCGCTCAGTTTTAAGGTGGTAGTGATTTATTTATTTTTGTAGCCAGTCCAGATAAAGCCATGAGATATAGCTCGCCATAAATAAGTAAAGTAAAATATACAACTAAGTACAGCGTTGCACCGTGGCACACAGCAGTGTTCGGCACATGAACCAGACACTCAGTGGTATTTAAACTTGGACTTTATGCCAAAACCAGTCAGGTCAAAACCAACCAAAACACTCGGGCTAGGTAAATATAACTTTGTGAATTTAGGGGCTTGCTTTTACGCCTTACGCCCAGAAGATGGCGCTGTTGGCCCCGTCGTTTAAAAAAAAAGCCATTGTAACAAAAATGAAAATGTGGCGTTTACATTTTGCTTATTTTCTCTCAACCACATCCACTTTTGTAAGAATCCATATTTACAATTTGCCCTTGCTAATTTTAGAGTGTTTGAGAGGTTTTACGCAGGAGAGTTAGTATGTTAGTTGCTTTAAACCCTTTGGCCAGACAGTGGCGCTGTGGGCCCGTGTGTGTAAAAATGAGCCACTTCTGTTAACAAGTAGACCTGTCATGCTAAGCTATCGTATCAAACAGGTTGCCCGAAACCAACAAACAGATAAATGTTGTACCGTCTTATTGCAAAGTTTGAGGACTCACTGTAGCTCAGGTTAAAACGCGAGGATGTGATTGCATCAAAAAACTAAACTTGAAGATGGAAGAGGTAACACATTTACGCGAAGTTACGTTTCTGTTTGGCTAGCCATAGGGCTAATTCATGCTAATGCACGCTGGCAGTTGTGTGAAAGTTAATGTTTACGAACCTAAAATGTTCTAGTCACGAATGTATGACGGAATTCAACAAAAATAGGCCCATGGCATTGTGTCTGACAAAACAAAAAGTTAGGTTAATGACAGAAATGATTTGTTTTGGAGTTGATTAGACTTAAGGATAGCGGTTGCGTAAAGTTAAATAAAGTTTGTGTGCCTTAAACTTTAATTGCAGTCCGTGAACATGATTGCTAAATGTCATTTTCAAGAACACAGTTGATACCGCGCTTTGACTTCACTAGGAGAGCATGCTGACATCCTCTGCCTCGGCATTTGACACCAAACCACACAGGAGCCAGAGCAAACAGGCTGACGGTCCTCTCACAGACACCTCACGTCCTCTGATCTTACCAAATCCATTTGGCACATATCAAGACTCAAGAAGGTATGGGAGTCATTTAACGTTCTCGTGAGTTAGAATACACCGTCAGTTGTTAATTAAGCTGTTAAGTCATCTAATACACATTTACAGATTTTCAAATTCTATTGTAAGGGACCGGGCAGACCTGAGTCCAAAACCTGAAGGAGAAGGAGATCATTCGAAGAGTCATGGTTACAGTAGTCACCGTCCAGTAAGAGAAACCAACAAAAGCAGACCCTTTCAAGCTACGGTTTGTGCCATCGATATACCAGCATGCCTAATAATTAAACATAGTCAATGGATCAGTTTCAGTATTTTGTAAATTACCTTTGCAGACTGTGAAAAGCCACAATGAGTCTCAGGGCAGAATCACTGGCAAGAACTCGGATACTCCCAACAAAGGTAGTTATCCCACACCTGTTTGGTCTCAAATGTTTTATCTATTAGTTTAAATAATAATAACCTTTTGTGTTTTATCTTCAGGTTTCAGAAATGTCAAGTCAGCCCCGACCGCTGCAAGGACATCACCTGCACTAACACACTTTGTCCCTTTTGAGGTGAAAATGGCCGACTTTCCCGAGTTAGCTGGTGATGCACAGATAAAAGTGTCTCAGAAAGAAAGTTGGGGTCCGAGTCTTCACACCGCAAGCCCCCAAACACAAGCTCCGACCACTACTTGGAAGGTAAGAATCTGTTTTGTATGATATTCTTGTTATTTGTTGTGCTTCAGTAACATCATTCATTGTGTGAGTAGGCTGGTGCGAGAGGGAGCACAATACAAAAGGACTCCCTGCAAAATTCCTCTGACGCTAAAGCCACTACCCTTGTAAACCCAGCAGGTCTGTTATTATGTTCCTGTTGTAATTACTCCTGATGAGGAAAATATCTGTTTCTTACAAAATGGTGTTTTTGCTTTAAACAGCTCAGACGTCCTGGGCTAATATTGCATCCCAGCCTCCAAAGAAACAGCCAGTTTTTACAGACAAGATGATCAAAAGCAATGCCATGCAGGTGTGATCTTATACAACAACTTCAATGTATTGTTTCAAAGTCCCAAGAGCCGATAAACCCGGGGACGCGGTGCTCTGCTTCATCATAATAAAAGTGTAAAGTTTGAGGAAGTTAACGTTGTGATCGTTGGGCTCATTTATTTATCCAGCTATTAGTTACGTTATCATTAATAGATGCTCAGGCTGTGAGGAGGTTGTTTCTGAAGGTCTTGTTGTGGACTCAGGCAGAGAAGATGGGTCCTGCGGGAGAAGATGGAGCCCAAGGAAAGAAAAAACGTAAGAAAAAGAAGAAAGCCAAAAGCGGTGCTGAAGCTGGGTCAGAAGACCCGAGGGTTCTTCGAGAGCCTCCAAAGTTTGAGGTGAAAATTTGGGGTTTTGTTTTTCAGTTTTTAGAAATTTAGCTAGATGGAAGTTAATGTAAATGTTTTTGTCCTTCAGGATGAAGAGGAGTTCCCGGGTTTGGCGGTTTCTTTTCCTGGAGCTGATGGGCTAATAACCAGCAGTAAAACAAAGCTATGCAGTGAGGTGGAGGTCATCAGTCTTTCATTCTGAGAAACAAAAGGTACACCAACCTCCAGCTTTGTATGAAAATGTTTTGGTTTGCATTTAAGGAAAACCAAAGAGAAGGAGGGCAGCATCATTCCAGTGACCCGAACAAGGAAAAGTTACCTGCAGGGAAAACTCAGCCCACAGACTCGGCTAATAGAGGACAGGTTTGTGTTGACTGACTGAACAGAGTCTTGTTTCTCCTTTTTAAAATTGGCTCATGGACGTCTGATTTCTAGAAAGCCGAGAAGGTATCTGGAAAAAAGAGCAAGGCACCTGTCCAGCTGGACATCGGAAACATGCTGGCAGTCCTGGAAAAGAAGCAACAATCTCAAAGATCCAAGCAGGACACCAAGCCGGTTATTCTCTCAGGTTGGTTATCAGCAGCGTGACAGAAGTCCGAGGTTTGATTAAACCCGCTCAGCATCAGGTCTCGTTCTGTTTGTGACTGTAGTCGGTGGAGGACTGCCTGTTGTCCAGAAGCAGTCACCTGCACCAAAGAAGCCACACTGGCAGCAAGACAAAATCGCTCACAACCCCCTGGATTCGACCAGCCCTCTAGTCAAGAAGGGCAAGCAAAGAGAGGTGCCTAAAGCCAAGAAACCCACTCCTCTTAAAAAGGCAAGAGCACGTCTCACTGCGGAGTGAAAGCATTCACAACCATACGTTAAAGTTATTTCTGTCGGATCGTCAGGTCATTTTGAAAGAAAGAGAAGAGAGAAAACAAAAGCGTTTATTAGAGGAGAGAGGAGTTCTACCAGGAAGTGAGTCCAGCCCCTTTAGTGATGTCACAGAAGAGCAGAACCAAGCAGACGCCACAGGTCAGCGCCAGCACCCGAACCTGGGACTCACGTTCATGTTGCTGAGTAACAACCGGGCTTCTTTGTCTCGTTTCAGATGACATTGGCAGTCTTTCCCAAGAGTTTGATGATCAGCTGAAGATGGTCGGTGCTGATCCAGTTCCAGGAGAGGACGGGAACGATGGAGCTATTCAGGAAGAGCTCGGTCCACCCGAGCTCCACACAGACAGCCTTCCAAAAATTCACAGCAGGAAGTTCAGAGAGTACGACCCAAAGCTGCATGATTCTGCTCGCTGTTAATCAGGCGGAGGAAAATAACCGCCATCGTTTTGTTTTTGATGCTCCTTAGCTACTGCAGCCAGATGCTGAGTAAAGACCTGGACGAGTGCGTGACGTCTCTGCTGAAGGAGCTGGTCCGTTTCCAGGATCGCCTTTACCAGAAGGATCCGATGAAGGCCCGGATGAAGAGGAGAATCGTCATGGGCCTCCGAGAGGTCCTGAAGCACCTCAAACTCAGGAAGGTCAAATGTGTCATCATCTCGCCAAACTGTGAGCGCATCCAATCTAAAGGTACGTCGGGTTTAACGAGTTTACCCCGTTTCTGATGAAGACAGCGTTGAACACTTCTGGAAACAATATCGCCTTCACAGGTGGCCTGGACGAGGCGCTCCACACGATTATCAGCCTGTGTCGCGAGCAGGGCGTACCGTTTGTGTTTGCACTTTCCAGGAGAGCTTTGGGACGCTGCGTCAACAAGACCGTACCCGTCAGCCTGGTGGGCATCTTCAACTATGACGGAGCTCAGGTCAGACTTCTGCCCAGCAAGCCTTCACGGCGACATCAGATGACGATGAAACGAACCTCTGATTCCCTCAGGACCACTATCACAAGATGATCGAGTTGTCTTCGGAGGCCAGAACGGCCTACGAGGCGAAGCTGTCGGGCCTGGAGCAGAACGACCAGACGGATGAGGACCTGGACGTGGAGAATAACAAAGAACCAACTTCTGGGTCTGACGTCCAGCTTCCAGAGGAGCCGGAGTACAGTACGTCCTTCTCTTTAAGGCAAGAAATGCATCAGAACCACTTTGCTTTCAAATAATTGCATTTTGTTTTTCAGTAAAGTTCTGGAAGAAGATGTTGGAGAAAGACAGCAGCCGCCCGTTTGAACTCTGAGCAGCGGCTCGGCTACGTGCACCTGGACAGGTTATGTACAGAAAACCCCGAAGAGGAAAGGTTCGGGTTGTTAAAACTGATAAAGATGATTTAAAAGGTCTTTTTGAATTTCATAGTGTTTAGATTTACATGAAATAACTTTAATGAGACTAGCAAAATGCACCTTTACCTGTTAAGACCCAGTACAAATTCAATACATCCATTTTTGTAAGCGGAGCGTGTGCACGCAGATTTAAAAACAATCAGATTAGAATCAGAGCTGCACGTGTTGTTTTCAATCATCGTTTAATCATTTCTACATGTAGACCATGTTGGTTTATCTGGATTTTCTAAACCACTCATTCCTGCTGGGTTAGGGTTAGGCAGTAATGTATGTTTACTGAAAATGCTCAAAACTGTGAAGCCAGTGTTCCACGGTGATTTCCTCATATTGAGGGGAAGAAGGAAAAATCCAAGACTAGTGTCCATAACGATGATAACGAAGCGGAAAACGGTGAAAGCTCAAAGCATGCCAAGATGGCTGCTTTTTCACGTTAAAAGCTGTTTGTGAGGAGAAATTTATTTTTATAGAAGATTAATGGAGTTAATTTATCATAAACTGTTGGAGACGGATCTAGACTTGTTTCTGTTGAGGTGATTTTTGCAGTTTCACAGCAAGGAAGTAGTGTAGGAAAGCAAAATGCTCATTCACGCATCCATAGCCAAGCTAGGGCTGGGAAATAATGTCGCAGAATGTTCAAAAATACATTTCTTTAAAGTTTTTGCACAATTTAACGTCACATTTTTGGTCAAATCTCTCTTCTTTTTGCTGCTACTCTTTAAAATCAGCTGTTTTAGAAGAATCGTGTTATAAATGTATGCTAACAATGCATTTATGGTGAAAAATGATTCATTTAATTATTTGAAATAAAAGCTGTATGTTTAAAATGCTGCATCCTAAATCATTTTAGTTTGCTTACTAATGCTTAACAGAATATCTCCTCAGAGGTTTAGGTTATGACTTGATGAGACGAATGTTGATGCCGACAGCCTCTGCATCCTGTAGATGAGGAAACTCGCTCAACTGTGACTCAGCTTTCCTCGGATCTGATCTGGTTACGGTCGCGTCTCATCAGATGATGACTCAGCACAAACCCCGCAGCACTCAACACAATCTTCAGTCTGACTCTTATTTTGTTTTCTGCCGCAGATAAAAAAATGTCTGAAATTTTCAACAAAGCAGGATTTAACTTCACTTTTATTTTTTTAAGTTGCCATCTCTTTAGTTTCTATGAAGCTGCAGAAAGATGTTTACATTTATTAAATCACAAAGTAAAACAACTTATTGTAATATCAAATAACATATTCATTGTTGAGGTCTAGTTGTAATTAAATTAGCAGCATTTTGGTGATTAAAATATCCATCTTAATAAATAACCTATTATTTATTCACCATAAACAGTCTGCTTTTATTTTTCTTATCCAAACTAAATGAAGCCCCATCCAGCAGGAAGAATCACGTCTAAAGTGGTTCTGCTGGTAATACTTGGCTGTAGTGTGGAATGAGTTTTACCACAAACCGTTTCAGTGACGACATTTAAAGCTCGAAACTGGTGATGGGTGGTTTTTTTCCTGATTGTCGCTAAAGCTGTACCACTTGTTCACTAATGTGGTGCACAACTGGGAGCAAATGAGCCGGTTTGACAGTTCTGTGAACCAAACTGCAGCAAGAGATGAGAAGAGTGTCTTTGGACACGTTGACCTGTAGAAAAATTAACAATCTGTTGAAAACACAAGAAAACAGCTGATATGTCTTCTTGGACCCAGGATATCAACATTTTGTGCAAATCCATCCAGCAAATGTTCACCTTCATTTCATGATTGAAAACCAAAACAAAATGAGGATCAGCACGCCGTGTCGTCGAACTCGACGTCCCATAAAGGACCAAAGTCACAAATCACTCGGTGGAAAACCTGGGAACAGAATCTACGTATCCGTCACCGATCATTTCTAAGCACATTCCTTTGCTGCAGTCAGACGAATGCGGCATTTTTGTGTTCTGATTGGTCCACTCTGTGTCGAGAGCTTCTTTTTTCTTACAGAGAGACTTGTGCAAGTCTTTATGCAGGATAACCATATTGTCACCTTTCACCTCTTTGACCCTGCTATAGTCTGTTGCCACGCTCTCTGCCACGCTCCCCTCCCGTGGCTGGCTGGCCGAGCTAATGGGAAGGTTATCACTCTTGATGAGGAGAATAGTCTCGTCCACCTCCTTCACCTGGCTGTAGTCCCACTGTTCCACGCCCACCTCCTGCGTGTTCTCACCTTGCTGAATATCCACATAGCCGGCAACGGCCTGGACAACATTCTCACAAGTTGTCTGCAGTAAAGCTGCATCTTCGTTTACAACGTTTACACTTGAGTTTTGGTGTTTCTCAGGAGGCAGCAGCAGCAGCGGCTCAGTGTTAGACATGTTTTCCTTGGATTGACATCTACTGGTTGGTGTAAAGTCATCCTTTTCATCTTCGCTGCTCTTTGATTTTTCACGGTCACTGTGGCCTGGAGTTGAAACTTCACGTTGGATTTCTGGGTCTAAGTTTAAATCAGAAGGAGTAAGCAAGCTTTTCTTCTTTCTCTGAGATCTGTAGGGATCTGTTAGAAGCCAGTCGTTGCTCTCAGACACCATTAGGTACTCCTCGGTCTGGTCCATACACACCGACGTGGGAGGGAAGTTCTGGTTGGCAATAAGAGCGTTGGCAACATCCTCGGATCGCCCGCTCTGGAAGAGGTAGATCAGTTTTCTTAAAAAGTCAAAGAACATCTTCTTTTCTAGAATGTTAAGGGAAAACAATCAAATGCATTGTTACCTTGAACAGTTGAGCATCAAGTCCTTTTATCTTTGGGCCGGGAATAGGGGGCAGAATCCACTGCTTCACTCTGAGTAGTAATAATATAAAAAAGAGCCATGGTAGATATTTACCCAGCTGACCTGCAAACAGGAAACATCTCGTATAGGATACTTACAATTTCCTCTTCAGGATCAAGATACAAATTGCAGCCAGAAAAGGGATTAAAGAGAATACAAAGACGAGTGTCCAAACAAGTCTCTGGTTGCGAAAATCTATGAAGAGAAACAAAAGATGTATTTTTCATTAACAGTCTTGTTTCAAAGTCAACCGTGGAGCAAAGAGCTTCAACACTTACAGCCTGGGACTTCTACAAAAGTGGCTTTGCTCCAGTCACTCCAGGAGCTGTGGTCCAGACTACAACGCACTTGAACCTCGTAGGTCACCCCAGGTTCGATATTGTACATTCTTAGTGAGTTTTGTGCAACTTCAGAGAACATCTATGCAATAAGAAAGTAGGGAAAACGAGAGCAAACAATAACTTTTACAGTTTTAGGATTAGTATTAAACAACTTAGGAAAGGATTGGGCGCTTCATATAGGTCTGATGAATTTATAAAAATACAAATTTGTTGAATTCATAATTCTAATAGTGAGCCTAAGTCACGCCCATCTACTTCCGGACCACGTGTCCCCGGAAGAACAGAAAAAATAAGTCAATGGGGCTAAAAATGCTATTTTCTAATTCTGCTTGTCATGTTCCATGAATTTCATATATGATGTCTGTCAATTTTAAAGAAGTTTTTTGATACCAAGAACGCGCTTATTCTCTGACAGGGGAAATGTTATTTTAGGTTTTGTGTGAAAATAAGTCCAGAACTACAAATGTGCCTCATGAGAGTGACGTCATCGAACCAGACATGAAGAAAAACAGAGAAAATAGCTGAGTTTAGCTAACTTAAAATCTTTTCTTCAGGAGTAAGTAAAAGTTTATTTATATAGCGCCTTTCACAGATATAAATCACAAAGCGCTGTACAACATGATAGAGGAGGAAAGAACCACCATAAATCTGGCCATGTGGTAAGTAGCAGCTACGCTAGAGGAGAAGAGATTCTGTTGTGACGACATTTATGCGACGTGCTGATAAACTTTTACAAGCTGATAAATCTCAAAGTACGTGACTGGCGTGGTCGAAACACCCATCGATAGTTTTCATTTAAATTGCAGTACAACGTGTGCGATGCAGGGTCTAAAGCAAAGCGGATTAGAAAGTAGCTCTTTTAGCCCCGTTGACTTGCGTTCATTTTTTTCGTTCTTCCGGGGACTCGTGGTCCGGAAGTAGATTAGTAGTAGTAGTAGTAGTAGTAGTAGTAGTAGTAGTGGAAGTAGTAGATGTAGCTTAGGCTCTCTATTGTTTTGTGCAGAATGCCCTTAGCCTTGTAACTGGTTCTCTTTTACTGACTTGAGAAACAAACAAAGTTTTATTATAACGTGTTTTGTATGCGGTAGTTGGAGGCAGATTTCTTCATAAATGACAGATCAGGATTTCACCCCAAGGACATCGGTCTTTAAGAAACCTTACGAGGAATAAATTGTACCACCAAGCTTCTCGTTTTTAACCAACAGATTTTTTTTACTAAAATCTTCTATAGATGTAATATGTATATATGTAATAGATGCCCCTTTTTACAGCGTAACTGTGAAGCACGTGTTTATCCACCCAGTTTTATCTGATCAATTTATCCAAAATTAATGGAACTTATTGCAGTGCTTATTGTGGGCGACGGTGGCACAGGAGTTAAGTGCTCACCCCGTAATCGGAAGGTTGCAGGTTTGAGCCCCGCTCAGTCTGTCGCTGTCGTTGTGTCCTTGGGCAAGACACTTAACCCATGTTGCCTGCTGGTGGTGGTCGGAGGGACCGGTGGCGCCAGTGCTCGGCAGCCTCGCCTCTGTCAGTGCGCCCCAGGGCAGCTGTGGCTACATCGTAGCTCATCACCACCAGTGTGTGAATGTGTGTGTGAATGGGTGAATGACTGATTGTGTTGTAAAGTACCTTGGGGGGTCTAGAAGGCGCTATATCAAATACAGACCATTTACCATTTACTTGAAGTTCTGCAAGCTATTTATACTAAAGCTTCATACCACTTTGTCTAGCTGACATTCCTTCACAGTTCATTAACAGGATAACTGAAAGCAAGTACCAAAGTATTTAAATTTTATCACAAGGGGTACATGGTCAGATTTCACGCTATTGGCTGCTTTAGTAAAAAGTCGGAACTAATAGTCATTTCTCCTGCAGCCATACATTTGTAAAGTGAGCAGAAATTTGTTTTAAAAATGATAAATTCAAAACCAACTTTAATCATGTGTTTTTTCTGCATTTCTTATTCAGTCAGTGTGACTTCACCAAAGTCACTAATGCAACTCCGTACCACGATAGAGCTACGTCTGTATCAAACACGATTACAGCCTAAAACGAATCAAATCAAACTTTATTTATGTAGCACTTAATCATACGATGAATGTAACTCAATGGGCTTAACCAATTATGTTGCACACTTTAAATGCAGAGACATAAGTTTTTAACTACAAAATAAAGAAATATCAGATTCACTGGTTCTCTACTCAAAATATCAATATGGTTTTACTTTTTGTACATACGTGTGTTTAATTGTACTAGTTGTTTAAGGCATGTGTTCGTTTCTGCATTAAATTAGTACATTTTAAATTCGGTTTTGGGTTTCAAGTTAATCCTTTCTTTGTCCTTGTCTCTTGTTTTCCTTTTATGGATTTGGAAATATCCAAAAATGTAAATAAATAAACTTTTCACACCTGGTGATTTGATTTATATGCAGAAATGATCTTCTCCTCACTCACCATCCAATCTAGGCCGGTTTGGACTTTCACTCTCAGCTCGTATGTTAAGGAGACCCAGCCTTTTGTGACGTCTACCTTTGAAGGACGTTTCCAACTTATATTGAGACAGGGAGTGTTGAGGTTCTCATCCACCAACACCGTGACGGCTTCTGGAGCATCAGACTTTACTGAAAAGCGACAAAAAATGAAAATAAAAAAAGAAGCGGTTAAATCCGTTAGCATTAGATTACAGGTGAAATCCATTTTTGTAATTCAACAAAAATCATTTAAATGCTCAGGAACCCTTAGCGAGTGTTGTGGGTGAATGAGCAGGTTAGAGTGTGACACTGAGTCTAGAACATTGAACCTTTTCACAATGTTCTGATTGTCTGAGATGTAGAATTTGGGTTTTTCGTGAGCTGTAAGCCATTCTCATCACAGTTCTAACAAAGGCTTGAAGTGTCTGGCTTTCTAGTCTATCTCATACATTAATTACTGAAATAAGTGAACCTTTGCACGATACTCTGAGTTTCACCTGTGCATTCAATCATTTTGCTTTAGAATAAACAAAACCAACATTTTTGGTGAGAAAACAAGATGTTCGTGTATTTTTGCAGGCTTTTAGCTGAACCATCAACCACTAGAATATAATTCTCTAATATTTATAAGAAAATGAACCTTTTAGGGTCCTTAAAGCACATTAGAGAGATGTAAAACCCATTGGATTAATGTTTGATAATGATGCAGCCCTACAAACATGTGCTGTGCAGTTCAGATTGAGCGAATTGTCAAAAAGCTAAATGATAAGTGGTCTGTATTTATATAGCAGAGGTTCTTCAACCCCCCAAGGCGCTTCACAACACAATCAGTCATTCACCCATTCACACATGGTGATGATGAGCTACATTGCTGCTGCTGAGCACCACAAGCAGACTAAGGAAGCTAAATAAAGCTAAATTCATGAGGGATTTTAGTCTGATGTGCCGCTTCATTAACCTCAACTTGAACCTAATATTAGAGTTTTTAATAGCTGGTCTCCTTTGTTGCAGCCATCTTTAAAGAACTGCTGCTTTGTAAATGTGGAGTCGATGAGGTAGGTTTGCACCTGTTGATCTGACACTTCATTGAGGTTTCAACGAGTTTTAACGTGATCCCGAGTGTTGCTCTTTCTTGATGTTCCATTCAGTTTTTTAGAAAGCTCTTTTTAAAATGTCGGCTCAAAACAACGAGTGAAGCCTGTGGCGTGGTTTCTACCAAGCATTTCTATGGCTAAAATGTTTTGAGCATGTAGGTAAATAAAGAGCGCGACTGGAAAAACTCTGCAGCTACAGAAATAGGAAACATTATGCTGCTTAAATGCAGTTAACCTCGTTTGAATCTAACAAAATATACGGCCCTTCCCTTCAGCTGATAGCAAGTTTCATGTGAAGAAACAAGCTCATTTCCCCACATGAGAGCTGCTGTAGCAGAACGTCTTCCACTGGAAAAACACATTTCTCTCCAATATGATTCATTTCAAACAAAGGCCCTTGGAAATAAAAAAAATGTGTGTAGTACAAAACCACCGTACAATCTTTAACACCAAACAAAGGACGGGAAATTTGATCTGCGACTGTACACGCCATTCAGACCGGTCTCAAACCAGTTCCACCTCATTCTCCTCAGACTTGAGCCCGCCAGCTCAGTACTTTTCCATTCCTCTTTCAGCGTAAGACGCCTGTGCAGCCAATAAAACAGAGCCAATCATTAGCTCGATATATAAAGATAATTCTGTAGGGTGGATTCTCCTTCAAGTAGAGGTCAATAGCTTAGTGTTTACTTTCTGGTTGATATTTTCCAAAAAGTGTGTATGTAGGGATGAAAAAGAAAACGGTTTCAAAGTTGCTGGAGGTATATTCCTAATCCAAATTCAAATAAATCTAAACTAACCGTGTTTTTTTTTTTTTGGTTCAGCAACAGTGGAATTTAATAAAAAGCTTTTTTTCTACAATATGTAAAAAAGAAAAGCAGGGCATCTTATTAAACTGGCCCCTTTCTGAAAACCTCAAAAACTTAAGAAAAACAGAGGAATTACAGTCAATTACCACTACGATTTATGTTTATGTTTATTTATCTGGCAGATGCTTTTATCCAAAGCGACGTACAGTTTATAACCTATAGGGCATGTTGTGATCTGTGGGGGAAGCCGGAGTACCCGGAGGAAACCCACGCATGCACGGGGAGAACACGCAACTCCACGCAGAAAGGCCGCAGCCGAGTTTTGAACCTGCAACCTTCGAGGCAACAGTGCTAACCACTGCGCCACCATGCAGCCCGATTTACACCATTTATTGTACTTTTAAGACTACAGTTTTTCTACATCCCACACGGTCCACTTAGAACATTTTTTGGGCAAATAAATCCACTATTTATTATCAAATACTAGAATATACATCACCCAAACATTTCCGGGTTCAAACAAGCTCCTCAAAGTGTTTTTGTTGTTATTGATCATCATTGACAGGTCACCAACAACAGGACATCAAAATGATCTCTAACGCATGTTTGGTTTTGCCAACATGCTTGTCGTTTTGAATTATTCACATCATTCTGAGAACTGAGCTTTGATCTTTTAAACTCCCCAATAATAAACAAATAAATAAATAACAAAAACAAGTCTAGGTTTACCTGAATAAAATATCACAGCAAGAAGCTGTCATGACGCATAGCCCCTGGGGATAGAAGTAAACACTAATGACATGTTTGTCCTCATTATTGCACACGTTGCAGAGCTAAAACTTGGAATGTTAGAAGAGCCGTCATTTTTAGCACATACTTTGAACATGACCATGCAAGATCTTGGCAATCACACGAGATTCTTCTTACAAGATTTGAACAAAACACTATTCTTTAAAGCTGGGTTGTGTATAGTTTCAAAATGTTAAATGTGACTATTTGACCCCATTCTATGATATAAAGTAGGTAATCTTTCATAATTTATATTTCCACAAAGTCCGTCCCCTTACCTCTACAGCAAAATGAATAATTTATGTGAGCCTGTTGCACAATAGAGTTGCGTTTCCTCAAGACGGAGCGGTCAATTAACGATAATACGCCCGTGTACCCAGCATGCACTGCAGGGTGTACAGACGTCTCAAGCAGCTAAGCACAACTATAGACATGAATATGCAGATGTGCCATCAGGTGCTGGAGAGCATAACAGCGTCCCCGCCATATTGGGTGGGTCTCCTCACTCTTCAAACACAGCTGGAGTCAACGCAGATTGAGCCACTATGCCCACTTTTGTACAGCCTACAGTTGCAACAACCAGCACACTATTAAACAGGTCATGTGGGGTTACCATAGACTTTTCTAGCCTACCTGTTGGGATTTTATATGTTGACTATTTATTTTGTTTAAATAAATCTATATTTTAATTATCATACCATGCTATACGTCAGACTTTTTGTGGAAAAGCATAATAAAGATTACGAATGGATGCTATTGCTCAGCTGGACTCCAGGGGAATAAAGACAAAAACCCAGATTAGAAATCTAGATGTAATCGTTGACTCAGACCTGAGCTTCTCTGGACATATTAAGGCTATAACTAAATCAGCGTTTTATCACCTCACCAAATATCAAGAGTCAGAGGTCTCGTGTCCAGACCAGAATTAAAGAAACTTATTCATGCTTTTATTTCTAGTCGGCGGGACTGCTGCAGTGGTCTCCTAACTGGTCTTCCCCAAAACGCTGTGAAGCAGCTGCAGCTTGTTCAGAACGCTGCTGCTGGAGTCTTAACAAGAACTAAGAGAACGGAGCACATCACTCCTGTTCTTAGATCCTTACACTGGTTACCAGTAAGCCACAGAATAGATGCCAAAGTGCTCCTACTAGTTTATAAATAACTCAGTGGCATGGGACCAAAATACACATCCCATCTCATTCCTGTATACACACCCAACAGGGCTCTGAGATCCTTAGGAAACAATCAGCTGGTAGAACCTCGGGTCAGAACCAAACACGGTGGAGATGCTTTTAGTTACCATGCTGCTCACATATGGAGTCAGCTTCCCCATGACCTCAGATCTGCCCCAACCCTAGTGTTGTTTAACCCTAAACCAAAAACCCTCATGACCTCATCAGATTTTTAAAAGATTTGTTTCTTATGTTGTGTTCTCTAATGTAATCTGCGCTGTAACTTTATCTTCTCCTTTAGCTCTAAACTATAATTCTAGCTGTGTATTTTAATTTTTTATGTTGTTTTCATATCATATTGTGATGACTGTAAAGCACACTGAATTGCCTCTGTGTTTGAAATGTGCTCTATAAATAAAGCTGCCTTGCCTATTTGCTTTTTCTTTGACGATGTATGGTAGACTGCCCTGTTGACTGACATCCATAGTGATGAGCTACGTCACATTGTTTGTTGATTGGTCCTAGCACTGTAATTGCATGTGGACAGTTAGAAAAACAACCATTCCACCCTACGACTGGGCCAGACTACAGGTGCTGGCCAGTAAATTAGAATATCATCAAAAGGTTGAAAATATTTCAGTAATTCCATTCAAAACGTGAAACTTGTACATTATATTCATGCAATGCACACAGACCAATGTATTTCCAATGTTCATTACATTTAAATTTGATATTCATAAGTGACAACTAATGAAAACTCCAAATTTGGTATCTCAAAAAATTAGAATATTCTGAAAAGGCTGAATATAGAAGACACCTGCTGCCACTCTAATCAGCTGATTTACTCAAAACACCTGCAAAGGCCTTTAAAAGGTCCCTCAGTCTTGTTTTGAAGGCACCACAATCATGGGGAAGACTTCTGACTTAACAGCTGTCCAAAAGACAATCATTGACACCTTGCACAAGGAGGGCAAGACACAAAAGGTGATTGCTAAAGAAGCTGGCTGTTCGCAGAGCTCTGTGTCCAAGCACATTAACAGACAGGCGAAGGGACGGAAAAAATGTGGTAGAAAAAAGTGTACAAGCTCTAGGGATAACCGCACCCTGCAGAGAATTGTGACGACAAACCCATTCAAAAATGTGGGGGAGATCCACAAAGAGTGGACTGCAGCTGGAGTCAGCGCTTCAAGAACCACCACGAGGAGACTCATGAAAGACATGGGATTCAGGTGTCGCATTCCGTGTGTCAAGCCACTCTTGAACAAGAAACAGCGCAAGAAGCGTCTCGCCTGGGCCAAGGACAAAAAGGACTGGACTGATGCTGAGTGGTCCAAAGTTATGTTTTCTGATGAAAGCAAGTTCTGCATTTCCTTTGGAAATCAAGGACCCAGAGTCTGGAGGAAGAGCGGAGAAGCACAGAATCCACGTTGCATGAGGTCCAGTGTAAAGTTTCCACCGTCAGTGATGGTGTGGGGTGCCATGTCATCTGCCGGTGTTGGCCCACTCTGTTTCCTGAGGTCCAGGGTCAATGCAGCCGTCTACCAGGAAGTTTTAGAGCACTTCATGCTTCCTGCTGCTGACCAACTTTATGGGGATGCAGACTTCACCTTTCAACAGGACTTGGCACCTGCACACAGTGCCAAAACCACCAGCACCTGGTTCAAGGACCATGGTATCCCTGTCCTTGATTGGCCAGCAAACTCGCCTGACCTTAACCCCATAGAAAATCTATGGGGTATTGTGAAGCGGAGGATGCAATACGCTAGACCCAACAATGCAGAGGAGCTGAAGACGACTATCAGAGCAACCTGGGCTCTCATAACACCTGAGCAGTGCCACAGACTGATCGAGTCCATGCCACGCCGCATTACTGCAGTTATTGAGGCAAAAGGAGCCCCGACTAAGTATTGAGTGCTATACATGCACATTCTTTTCATGTTCATTCTTTTCAGTTGGCCAACATTAGAGAAACAAACATTTTTTCATTGGCCTTTAGAATATTCTAATTGTCTGAGATACCAGATTTGATGTTTTCATTGGTTGTCACCTATAAATATCAAAATTAAACGTAATGAACATTGGAAATACATTTGTCTGTGTGCATTGCATGAATATAATGTACAAGTTTCACGTTTTGAATGGAATTACTGAAATATTTTCAACCTTTTGATGATATTCTAATTTACTGGCCAGCACCTGTATATAGCTACGTATATAGAAAGGCTTGCCAGGCTAACAGACCCCAGTTTCAACTCCCTAAAGGCAGCAGGTCATTTTAGGCCTCGGTTGTAACCCTAACCCTAACTTTTTTATGAGGACACTTTTGTTTCCTAGTTGAGAAAGTGTTTTTATTCTTAACTGGCAGTAACAACTTACAGACTTTCATAACATCGATGTCTAATGTGTCCGACGAGGCATTCCCGAGGGCGTTGAAGGCCACCACTCTCAGACTGTACTCCACCCAGATGGATGTGTAGTTCTTGCCAAAGAAGCAGGAGTTATTTCCTGCTGAGTGGTAGTCCGGACACTCATGGATTCCCTCTTCCCTGTAAACAACCAAAACAAGACCTTTAATGACCAACATGTGGGTGTTAACATGCGCACATGAAGAAGTCAGCGTTTATGCTGTGGGCAGTAAATACATAGCAGTAATTACTAAACACGTTTAAAGCTTTTCACTGCCAACTGCACGAATCAGGTATTTTGGCAGCTGAGACGACTGAAATAGGCTCCGAAGTGTCATCTTGAAATAATTTAACCCACATTTATGATTTTTATAACACAGTGACTTACTAAAAATCCACCAGTGATTTCTATAATCATCAAAAACTGGAAATCTACAACATTTATATATGATTTATGATGTATTAACAACTGTATTCAATTTCCTTCATTAATTAGATGTTTTTAATCAATATTGTAATAATCAAAATAATTTCTTCCAGATCAAATAGAAAAAGTTAATTAAATGTTAGAAAATTGCCTTCTAATTTGCACGCCTGTAACTCCTCCAAAGATAACGTATAGCTGTCACGTCTGAGTCACAGAGAAGTAAGGATTATTAAAAGAAATGAGAGAATGTAATAATATATGTTGTTTGTTTGTGGTCATCCATGTTGAAGATCTGGAACTAGCAAAAACAAACAAACAAACTGGGAAAAAACATAGAAATACACATATTGTATGATTGGGATGAACGCAAAAACAGGTCGTAAAAAATGTATAAAAAATAAATGGCCAGATACTGATGTGAATGGGTTTACTTCACACAAAGGTTTATGACTAAATCAAATAATTTTATAACCTGCTTGTCAAAAAGAACCTTAAGAAATAAGTAACTATTCAGTTAATGCACAGATATTTAAATTTTAGGTGGTTGATTGTACCATTGTCTAAAAACATAATATAACTTCAATGTAAAGTTTTAAAAGTGGTCATTATTATTATTCCACAGCTTAATTTTAATTTTACTACAAAATAAATGAAAATTTGCTCCAAGATTGTAAATGTTATATCCCCCATTATAACTTTTATTACCCCTTTGGGCAGGGCAGGTGAGGGTCTCACAGGTGACTTTTAGATGGGCGTGGTTACAGTAGTAGTAAAGCACATAGACTTGAGCAAAGGGACCAGTAGTTTTCCACCTGCTACTCTGCAGGACATACGACTGAAAACAAGTTTTAGGTTAATTTGCCCTCAGTGTGGGTGATAAACATATCTTGAAGTAGACAATCTGGTGGCCTTGAAGCTGAAACAAACAACAAATCAGCCAAACTCAGCTGAAGACAAGTTTGTCTGTTACTCTAAGTGTGTGTGTGGGATTAAGAAATTATATTCTACTCCTCCTTTTGTCTCCATCGGCCTGTGAGCTGAGTTCAAAATGGAGGAATTGGAAAATGTTTGTATTCAGAACTAACTTTTCTTTCTCGTAGTAGAGGCGGTGCGTGGTCGGCAGTCCTCCGTCAGAGCCCGGTTTCCACCAGCAGGTGAACGTCTCCTTCTCCGGAGACCTGCAACCAACCAGAGCAGGTTTCCCTGGTGGAGATGTACCTGGCAACACAGGTCACAAACAATCATTAGATGTGAATTAACAATTAGGGTTAGATGAAATCATCAGCATCGGTTTTCCACGTTCAGTTCATAAAAAAGAATATATTATTTATTTTATTTTAAAATGTTTACAATATAATGGACGGGCTTTCATTTAAAAAATCTTAATTGGTTTTATTCATTTAAGATGAATGATTCAATAATAACAATAACAATAATAATAATGTGACAAAACCTTTAATTTGTGAAACCTGTTTTTTTCTACAGCATAGAAGCATTTAGTACCATAGTAGTGTCATAGTGTGAACTGTACCCTAAGAGGATTGTGCCACTTTTAAACATGCGCCGAAAGACTGTGCACACATGTTTCAGGAGAGATTTCATGTTCATGACTCATTTTAAAAGACTGATCTCCAACAGCATTGGCAGTCCTGTTCAGACATGTGCTCTGTTGCTATGGAGGCTAGGCTACGTATATAGAGTGGTACTATTTTGATGCTTCTGTCACAAGAGCACCACAGCTGTACTATAGCCTCAGTGCATGTATTATATTAGCTTATGTTTTCTCTCAATGACATTTTAAAGCACTTCTTATTTAATAAAAAATACATTCAGATCTTGTAAAGCTCCTAATAGGATCAGGTCTACTTTTATTGTCTGTTCACTAGTTAGTTACTTTTAAACCTCGACATTAAATATCTTTTAAGGCTTTTGCGTGATCTAGAAGCTCAGCATATTTCAGATGTGTTCAAGACGTGATTAAAATCCAGGTGTGTGTGTGTGTGTGTGTGTGTGTGTGTGTGTGTGTGTTCTTTCATAGGGCTAGCAAAACCTTTCTTCAACCACAGGACAGATTTGAATTAAACTATCAGAAAGTAAACATTGGATTTCCATCAACAGCTGATTAACTTTTGGCCGTGTGGGTGACCTTGGGAAACAAAAATGGCTAAACTTTTATCAGTTTGACAGATTTATAGCGAAAATGAGTTATACTGATTAACTCCATGTGCTAAAAGATGCAGTAATGTTTCATCCGATTGTGACAAAGGTATAAAGATCGGACCAAACAAAATGTACTCAATTTTTCAACAAATTTTCTGGCATGAAGGAATGTCAGTCTTCTATATTTTACAAAACACCTAAAGTATTTTTTAATATTCAGGAATTTTTTAATTAGAACTAATGAATTCTGCTCACTTTTTATTGGCTTTTCTGTATATTTAAATCTGTTTAGCATCATAACAGATTGATCTTAATACATTTATTTCATTTGTTATGATTTTTATCTGAGAAAGTGCTACATATGTGAGCTTTAATTTGAAGGCTGAATGCAGAAAGAGCAAAAGCAGTGTCACTGTCAGATTTATAACACAAACATCAGATGGATGACTGCAAAGAAAGTGACGGGGAAAGTTGTTCTGTTGCAGCGACACAACGTCCCCTGCTTTGTTTTGCTTACATTGTTGTACACAGTTTTGACTAAAATCCAGAGTTTGTGTGCATTTACACACCCGTGGACACACGGTCTACAGCAGTCTGCTAAAAAGTGTACTAAAATCAGCTATGATGAGATATAGCTATATCTAATTTTGAAGGATATGATGACCGTCTGCAGAGAGATCACAACCGTAACAATTTATCTAATGGAAAATGTTTCCGCCCAGACCACTTTAGATGTGACACAGACAGACCCTGATCACTCTTGAACGTATTCATTAAAAGAAAGTAATGCTAAAGATGTTTACTCATTGACTATTACAGCTTTGATCTGTTAACTGTGAGTTGATTAGGTTCATTAGCAGCTGTGGCGATAAGTTAGCGTTATTGGCACATGCTAGCGTAAGATAGCTAATTAGTACCTACAGATATTTTTGTCCTTTTACACTTGTGTTTTAATATAAGAAAAAAGTGGAGACGGAGGCTCAGGGATTAGGAGTTTGCCCCAGAGGGTGGTCAGTTTGAATCCAGGCTCCATCCGCATCAGTGTGTTCATGGGCAAGACACTTCACCCTCCATGCCTGCTGGTGGTGGCCAGGGGGACCAGTGGCACCTGTTCACAGCAGCCTCGCCTTAGTGTGCCCCAGGGCAGCTGTGGCTACGTGTAGCTCATCACCTTCAGTGTGTGAGTGTCTGAATGATTCATTGTAGTGTAAGGTGCTTTGGGGTCCACTGACTCACAAATGCTCTTTACAAGTGCAGGTCATTTCTCATTTATAGTTGAAATATTCAGTAGCAATAGTTAAAATTGTTTAAATAATTGTGATAAAATTATTTGTCAAAAGAAAGAAAATCACAATGTGATATTATTGTCATATCACCCATCCCTAGACATAAATATATAACAAGTGGTGCATGGGTGCTTGAAAGTTAAAATTAAAATAAATTGTCAACAATTTTACAGTCTGCATAAAATATAAAAATCACCAGCAAAAGAAGGCTTGCAATAATTTCTTAATGAAGCAGAGGAAGTGCGAGGAAATTATGAAATTTTATGAAATTATATCTACAAAAGACATGGGTGTCATGTGACCATGAGCCATTTAATCTTAAAGCTCAAACAAGTTTCTTATTTTTTCCCCATGTTACGAATCACATTCATGGAGCTTTAGGCTACACTTTAACAGGGAGCCCATCTACTTCCGGACTACGGGTCCCCGGAAGAACAAACAAATGAATGCAAGTCAATGGGGCTAAAAATGCTATTTTCTAATTCCACTTGTTATGTGCCATGGATTTCACACATGTCCGTGAATTTTAAAGACGCATTTTTAAACCAAGAATGTGCTTATTTTCAAATGGGGGGAAACAAAATTTTAGGTTGTGTGTGAAAATAAGTCCAGGACGCGCTTCACGAAAGTGACGTCATCGAACCAGACACAGAGAAAAACAGTGGGAAAATGGCTGTAAGTACAGCGAACTTCAAATCCTTCCTTTCCAGTAGGAGAGAATCACCATAAATCTGAACATGTGGCAAGTAGCAGCTAAGCTAGGGGAGAGGAGATTTTTATTTTTATGTTTATTTATTTAGCAGACGCTTTTATCCAAAGCGACTTACAGTTTATAACCTATAGGGCATGTTGTGATCTGTGGGGGAAGCCGGAGTACCCGGAGAAAACCCACACATGCACGGGGAGAACACGCAACTCCACGCAGAAAGGCCGCAGCCGAGTTTCAAACCTGCAACCTTCGTGCTGCGAGGCAACAGTGCTAACCACTGCACCACCATGCAGCCAGATTCTGTGGGGACGTCATATATTCCACATGTGTTTGACGTCTTGTTTGTAGTCATGCTACTTACAAACTTTTACAAGCTGATGAATCTCAAAGTACATGAGAGGCGTGGGCGAAACATCCATCATTCCTTTTCATTTAAATTGCAGTACAACATATGCGATCCAGGGCGTGAGGCAAAACGGATTACAAAATAGCTCTTTTAGCCCCATTTACTTGCATTAATGTTTTCGTTCTTCCGGGGACCCATGAGCCAACCGCAAATGGAGGAGACTTAGGCTCCCTATAAAAAACTGATTCAAAATCGGATCTACCGATGGAAGAACTTACCATCACATTCCTTAGCTGCAGACAGCATCCAGAGCATCACCAGCCCGAGATCTCCCCTCATCCTGGCACCGACCCGTCACGCTGTGAGACAGCAGAGTGAAATCAGATGCATGTCCTTAAACACATTCTCACTCCCAGCGCGTCTAAAACAAACGCAGCCACCCGCCGCATCAGACCCCTGACGCCAAAAGTGCCCTTTTTCGTCACTTATGTGCAAAAAGGGTTTTTTCCCTTTTCTGACTGCAGATCCCAAAGCAGCGTAAAACTGACGCATTGGGATATCCGGGTTAAGGTTAGGATAGGGGTGAGGGGAAGGTTAAATAACAAGAGGATAAGGTTAGGGTGAGGTACAATGAGCTTGTTTGGTGCCCTGGCTGCGGACATCCCATCGCGTCAGTGTAACGCTGCACTGGGATCTGCAGTCAGAAAAGGGAAAAAAAAAAAAAAAACTTTTCGCACATAAGTAACGAAAAAGGGCACTTTTGGCGTCAGGGGTCTGACGCGGAGGGTGGCTGACCAAGCGTTTGTTTTTGACGCACTGGGAGTGAGAATGTGTTGCCTTAATGCACTTGTATAAACCCGGGGGCTCGGCCACAGCTCTTGTTTTACCCAAAACAAGCAGATATGGAGGGAAAACAGCAAACCAAACCGGTAACGGTTTGTTCAAGCATCAACTGACATGGAAGCTTGATAAAACCCGATATTCAATGTAAAAAGGGTCACAATTTATTAGATAACAGAAAATATCAGCTAAACAAAAACATCAAAGATGAGATTTTCAGCTGTAAAAACTGGATTTAGTACTCATTTCATGCACTTTGTTCCTTTTATTAACTCGTTTGGCAGACATCAATTCACTTGAGGTCGTTTAATGCACTTCCGTGTTGCGGGGAGTTTATGAATACGAATATGTGCAGGCTCAGGTCAACACACAATACGCTTTGTTAAAAAGGGACATTCATGTTGCAAATTCCCACCAGAGTGGCTGTTCTGCTGCGCACTTTTTGCTGTTTTCCCCACAAGTTTCTACACTCATTGGAAATGTACAAGCTCAAAGGAAACGCGCTTTTTGTTTTGTTTTTGTTATGAAAAATGATAAATCTTAAAATGCCAAATGTAAACGGACACACGAGCAACTTCCCTTCCCTGAACAACAAGGCTGTAATTTAGTTGTTAAACATTTTCACAATTTCTGCTCCACCTTTGGTGCGACAGCAAGCCGAGTTTCATGCTACGACACCTGCTCTGACAAGTTTTAACAGGATCACTTGCTTGGGGAAGGTAGGACCTGGACGAGGCTTTATTCCCTTATTTCTACACTCAGAGAGACTGCATGTTAAAAATTAAACCTAATTCAGCATTTTTTAATGTAGAAACCCAGAAGATTGTAATCTGTTTCTATTTAAAACAAAGTCTTAAACAAAATAAAAGATCTTTAAACAGCTAAATCTGATCATTTTTAAACTCCGCACTCAGAATTAAACTTGATTTTAATGCTATTTTATAGGTAAACAGGATAATTTTTTTTGCTGAAACACTGTCACCAAGGCAACAGTGTTTCCATGCTGTACTGTTTAATACCTCACTGCAACACAGATGACTGAGTACACAATACAGTAATATCAATACACTGATTAATAAAAAAAAAACTAAATAATAAGCAAAACAAAAACAACAGCAGGTCCTCCTAAATTGGTTTCATCCGCTTTTCTTATTTTCTGAGTAATAAAATAAAAACAAATAACTAAATTAAATGTCATTAAGTGGCAATAGAAAATCATCAGAATGAGCCTGAACACTGAATTTTTGCTTACTCAAATATAGTGCCATTGCCTATATGCTGGTTTTGCAGGTGTTTGTGCGCGCGCACACGCAGATCCACGCAACAGTCCAACACGGAAAAGAAACAGCCTTGTGAATGATTGATTACATAACATTCTGCTTCCAGCTGCGTTAGCACAAGTACATTAAAAACAGCTTTTCTGTGTCAGGTTGCTTTTTTTAACATGACGCTATCACTCACCTGTCGCTTTAGGGCGCGCGCAGCTTTCTTGTTCTTCATTTAAATGCTGTGGAGAAGGAGTCTTCCTCAGTCATTATGACCTCACCTGGCAACCGCTGCGCCTGACGACTCAGGTATGCTGGTTTATGAGATGGGAGAGAGAGGTGTACTCTGAGTCATCGGGGAGGGGGGAGCCTCTCGCGACGACCTGCCCACCTGAGAGCCGACAAAGATTCCCGAAAACCGATGCGAGATGCATCACCTCGCTAGTTTTGTTTCCCACTTCTTAAAGCAGATTTCTAAACTAACTTTACTTACTTGAACGATACTTTTGCTCACTGTGTTTAGTAGTTTATCATAAAAAGGGAGCTAGAATAATTTTTAGTCTTGTGTTTCTTTATTGAACGCATCGTGTCATTTTTTTAATGACAATTAAAGTCCGGAGTGTCCTGAACGCATCACGGAAAATGCCGCGACCTGTAAACGCACCACGAGTCAGGTAAAACACGAGAGTGGGAGTTTTACCTGTCTGGCTGTTGAAAGAAAATGTTACCAAACAGGTAACTAGAACAAATATGTAAGTACCATGACCATTCAAGTACTTAGACAGTTTCACACTGCTAGAATTCAGAGCATCCATACCTTATCGCTTTTGCAATGGTTGCTTTTTTTGCCATTTTTATAGCAAGATTCCAATCAATAATGTATACAAATAGTATGGTGCTGTTGATAAAGTTTTTGCTGTCACACTTATTAAAATAATGTCCAAAACTATTAAAACATTATTTTAAAAAATTACGAAAAATCGAAACATCGTGGATTTTATGTCTGCATTAGTGTCTGAATGGTACTTGTCTTTATTTTTAATCAAGATCAATTGAAATCAATTATTTTTTGTACAACATAACCAATTCGAGGCCCTGTTATGTGGGCTGTGCCTTTTAAAAACTGTCACAAACTAAAAATAATGAAAAAAGCTCAAACTATTACACTCAATTAAAAGTAATCTAGCCACTTTTGATGATTTATAAGCTTCACTCATTTTTATATTTCAGTCCAACTCCATGACGTTTACTTCATGTAAACCTGTGTGACGCAGACCACCATTGTTCTAGATATTGAAACTGTTCTTAATTAGTGCATTTTAACCAATTTAACATATATACATTTGAACAAGTGTCTATGTCGAGGATTTTAACAGATTTTGATCATATTTGGTCACAAATCAACTTTTAGTCTAATGCAGTCTGGTGAAAAAAGAGCAGAGCTATAACTGTTGACATTTCTTCTGCCGTTATTCATATTAGGTCTGCTCGTAGTAGTTATCTTTGCCAGGACATAAATCTCCTGTACCTGGATTTATGACAACACCCATGTAGTAATACATCACAACCAGCGTTGAAATTTCAGTTCATACATTTTAAAACTAACTAGTTTGTTTCTTAGTTCATAATTAAAAAAATTTAACTAAGTTCACTGTTCCAAAAACAAACTTCATAGTTCTTTTTTCTCATATATATATATATATATATATATATATATATATATATATATATATATATATATAAAACTTATGACATAATTTTCCAATAGTCCACTCATACCCAGCTGCAGTTTTTACCAGACAGTATATTCTCAATAACACCAGGAAAACATTATTTTAAATGGGAAATGATTAAACAATCTTAGGAAGCAGGCTGAGGTAGCAAACTCAAAGTGCAATATTAAAAGTGCAAAACATTAAAAATGTATAATCTTTCAGTTAAGTCCTGTTTCAATTTTTCTGAATGAACTTTGACTCCTCCACATAGCATAGACGTAGAAGAGTAGACGCCGCACCAGCTGCTACTGCCTACGTTTGGCTGCATTTGCGGGTTCTACTTTTTATAAACCCTATGGTTAACACAATGTTTTAGCTAGGCTTTAGCTCCGGAAAAGCTCCGTGGAGATCTGGAGCTAGAACGGCAAAAGAAAGCGTTCATAAACCCGTTCATGCACACCAGGACAAACGCACTCAATTTTACGTACATCAGGCAAAATACGAACGAGTTCAGTTCACGAAAAAACGAACGAACGATCAGCAACAACACTGATCACAACATAAAAAGAAACATGAGGGGCTCCTCAGGGATGTGTACTCAGTCCTTTGTTCATTACTTTAGGAGTACGCAGTTTTTGACAAACATCTGTCCAAACTACTGTGATTTCCTTTTATTTTTAAAAATTGATGAAATGACAAAGTACTTGAACCGTCTAATGAAGCCAGTGTTTTAAAATAAAACAAGATCTAACTATTTAGGCCTCTCGTGTCCTTTGTGTGCAATTAGTTCATCAAGCCTTTGATAATTTGTACAACTGCTTATCCAGAACCCCACTTTTAACTAATTGGAGTAGACAAAGAGGCCACAGCATCCATGTCTTCATAATCTTTCATCCTCCACCCTTCCAGCTTTCTGGGCTTTTAGGGACACATAGCTGAAAAATATCTCTTTGTGAATTTCATTTTTCTCTGTCTGCATTTAATGCCATTTTAAGGATTAGATTTTTCTGACTCATAAATCACAGAAAACATCTAACAGGAAAATCTGAGTGGCAGTAAAAGAATTTGGAGCCATTTTTAACCTTTTATCCAGATGTGATTAAAACCCTCTTTTCAAAGAGAGACCTGGCCAAGAATGGCAACAGCAGGTATCAAAACATGGAAAGATTACACCGTTAAACTCAGGGAGGAAATAAAAAGATTTAATTAAAATTTGAATAGATTTGCAGCAGTTTAGATGAAACGGTTGCAATTAAAAGCACACAGTGAAATTTTCTCTTTCATGTCATTCTGCGTTCCTGTGTTCTGAGCCGATGGTGCTTCTTAGACAAAAGCTCTTTTTTAAGTTCAGTTTGTGCAAATGGAACAGAAAGCAACAAGTGATGAAGCATGAAACAGAGTGTCAACCAGAAGTATTCATGAATAAAATGTCCCTGGAGTCCAACACAGGCAAAAATGTGGCAGCAACACGCTGCTTCTTTGTATTAAAAGAAAAGCACAACTTGTTTTTAAAATAAAAACTATGTTTAACCTCAACTTCTTCACAGGATTGTCTACGTGTGGTTTTAGGTTGAGCAAGTTATCAATAAAGACACCCATTTGTGTGAGCCCAGGGGTGGATTTAGGATTTAAAAGATCTGGGGTTTAGCCCAGATGAGTGAAATATATATTAACATTTTGGTGATACATTTGAATTTTCACATTTTGACCACCTTAAAGAAGACAAAAAGCACTAGATTACTCTTGTGAACCGATATAATGATATAATAAATATATTATGAGCTTTTATAATTTTAAAGTGACAATGTGTACCGTAATTTCTGGACTATAGAGCGCACCCCAATATATGCCACACCGGGCTAAAAGCCGCAGATATCTACTGAATTGAAAACGTAGTTTAACTGAACGTAACTGAACTGATCAGTATCAAACAAAACAGAAAAGTTATTGATTAGTTTATTCATCGTCCTGCGCACTGAAACCACTGAAGTCCTCTTCTTCTTCAGTGTCGGAGTTGAACAGCCTCAGAAGAGCTTCGTCACATACCTTTTCTGTGGCGATGTCCGTGTCGCTCTCCATGTTGCTGTCATCATCCCGGGGTGAAGCTGGGAAAACAAGCAGCGCCGTTTTACTGTGAAAAAAATCCTCCTGGGTGCTTTCCGTAGCGCTCCTTTAACCATTCCTTCATTAGACTTTCCAGCATCCATCCTTTCTGGTTGACTAAAGCTGCACCTCATTATAAGCCGCATGGTTCAAAGCGTGGGAAAAAGTAGCGGCTTATAATCTGGAAAATACAGTAGATTTTACCATTAATCTCTGGAAATATCCATCGAAATGTTGTTGTAAATGAATTAAAAGATGCCCAGCCCTCTCTGGTGGACTTAAAAGTAAAATTCAGATTCTGGGGTTTTTCAGAAAACATCGTGGGTTTGAGCCCAAGCAGCCACCCCCTAGCCCCGCCCCTGTGTGAACCACCTTTACTTTATCACCCTCAAGAGTACTCACCGGGAATCATTGCTGGCAGCTTCCTTCAGTTGGAAAGGGACATCCGCTGCTTTCTTGTGCTTTGAGAACAAGTTATACAAGTTTATACTAAACTGTACATTGTTTTATTGATTTAGCACACAACAAAACTAAATCATAAGGCTCATTTTGAGATTTGGAGGTGCTTTCAGCAGACCCAGAAATCACTGAGACAGTTATTATTCAAGAGAGCAAGTGGGTTAACATCACGGCTGTATTTTCTTATTGTCTGTCAGTAATTAGTTTTCAATAAGGCAGGGAAAAAATGACAACGACTCTAGCCATGGAGTTAATCTCACATTCAGCTTCAGGCAGTCTCAGCATCTGTGATACTTCTGTGCTGAATGCTTTCATCTAATTGCTTTTATTGTTCACGGATGGATGTCACAGTCTTGCAGAAGTTTCTGAGTCATAAAAGTAACAATATAAATCAGAAAAGTGGAGATAAACAAACCAAAACGAGCTTCTACACCAGGGTTGTCCAAACCTTTCAAGACAAGGGCCAATACTGTCAAGTCAATAGTCCTAGTGGGCTACAAAAATACAAGTTAATTTGAAAATTTTAAATTAAGATAAGCCCAAAACAGGTATATTAGTCCAAATCTGAACATAAAGGTATGTCAGAAAGTGTAGATCTACATCAACATCCTGCTGGAGAGATAAAGCTAATCCTTTTATAATTTCAAATGGGCCGTAAATGGCCCCAGGACCACACTTTGAACATGCCTGTTCTATACCATCTATTCAATTCAATTCAAGTTTATTTATAAAGCGCCAAATCACGACAAGAGTCGTCTCAAGGCACTTCACATAATAAACATTCCAATTCAGGTCAGTTCATTAAGCCAATCAGAAATAATGTTTCCTATATAAGGAACCCAGCAAATTGCATCAAGTCACTGACTAGTGTCACTGACTATACAGCAATCCTCATACTAAGCAAGCATGCAGCGACAGTGGAGAGGAAAACTCCCTTTTAACAGGAAGAAACCTCCAGAGAATCCTGGCTCAGTATAAGCAGCCATCCTCCACGACTCACTGGGGATGGAGAAGACAGAGCAGACACACACACACACACACACACACACACACACACACACACACACTATTTTTATGTTTACTAACATCTATTAACATCTGCAAAATAAACACTAATTTTTGGAAGAATTTACATGCAAACATTAGTGTATTTTCTTTTCTTTTGGTGTAATTCAAATGCCGACCGCTAGTTGGCAGCAGTGTGCAATGGGTTTTGTTTCCACCACCATTGAAATGTAAATCCCTCTATTATGGTTCAGATACTTCAAGTTGAGCATGTTACGTTTCAGTTTGGACTGTTTATTGAAATTTCCAGCCTTGTCAGATAGAGATAGACTATAGTGAAATTTACTTTCATGTCTAGAGAACTAAGTTATAATAAACTCAAAGGTTATCAAAAAGTGGTCCAACAGGATTGAATTGTGTGGAATTACTGTTATTTTCTCACACACCATAAGTCAGCACACGGTCTAATGCATGTTGGCAGGAGTGGGTGGAGCTATGTGTGAGTAAAACCAGTTGAGTCTAAGATATTACTAAAGGCTACATTGAGGCTATCATTTTCAATGTCCACATGAATGTTAAAATCCCCCACTACAATGACCTTATCAGTATTTAGCACCAAATCAGATATAAAAAAAAATCTGACATCTGATCCAAAAACAGAGTTAGGGCCTGGCGGACAATATAAAACTACAAACAAAAGTAGTTTTAGAGTTTTGTAATCTGGATTAGGAAAACTAAGAATATGATGTTTAAAAGAACTGTAACTATTAATTGGTAAAAGGTTGATTAATAGGTCCGAATGAAAAATGGTTGCTACTTCTCCTCGCCCTGTACTTTGAGCAATGAGACGATTTAAATAATTAGACTCATTTATACTAAAAGTCGTCTTGCTGCAGCCAGGATTCTGAGAGAGAGAGAAAAGTGATCTGATTATCACAACTCAAGTCATTAACTAACAAAGTCTTTGAAAAAACAGATCTACTGTTCAATAAACCACATAAAATTTTCTAGTTTTCTGCTCAGTCGAATTTGTTCTAATTTTTTAGATTCCCACGATTTGCTCTATTAAGCCTGATTTTTCATCTGTTTGATTGTGGGTGGGTAACAGCATAGATGTGTTTATATACATATCTATGGGTAACAGTAACAGAAGCTGCAGAGGGGTGTGTTAAACTACGTCCTGGTCTGGATCCTGGACTAATAAAATTGGCCATGTTCCTAGACAGAAGAGCTGCTCCATCCAAAGAGGGGTGGATGCCGTCTCTTCCATTAAAGTGTTTATTTCTTCACATCCTGAACATCTCTGATCGAGTGGGAGAGGTGTTGTGTTAAACAGCAGGTAGAGAATGCACCGTGTGAGCTTCATGCAGCCAAAGAGTTCACAAGAAACAAGATAGCTCTAGTACAAGATAGTCCTCTTCTAGACAAATTAAAAGCATTTTTACAATTCTTAAGTATTTATACTATGTTTTGTAAGAACTTTTCTAACATTATATCTGACACAATAACGTAAAAGTATGAAATTTGTAAAAATTGGATTTTCGTTCAAATTTAAAACCTTTACTTTTTGCTATTTATCATATTTTGCTAGCTAGCATTAGCAGCTAACAAAGATGCGTCGCCCTGCTTTTCTCAAACTAACAAATATTGTGGCTAGTACACATGAGAACACATGTAGAAATTTGGGAAAATGCCCTTTGTACTGAAAAACGCTGTAAAAACGTTTAAAATAAGGTGCAGTTGGCTAAAATTCACATCAACCTGTCGACATAATGCTACAACTATCTTGTCCGAAACAACCTTCAGCTGGCAAGGGGAAATCCAACACGGGCGTGCTTTGCTCACTCGTACGTCTTCCAGGAAGTTCAAACCTGATGTGTAACTTTATTCATGTTTTTCTTCGTTTATTGATCGAGGCTTGACTGCAGTGAAGTGTAGCTCCGGTGTGTACAGCTCTGTAGCTGGCTGCCATGGCGGACTCCCTGGACAGGTCCACGAAGATCAGCTCACTGAAAGAGTCGGTGGTGAAGAAACTTTGTGAGGTTTTGGATAAATCAAACAATAACGGATGGCGAAAGTTAGGAGAGATTGTTGGCAGTGACAAAAGATTTAAAGTAAGGTAGGTTGATTCAGTTGTTAGGATCTCTTCAAGAGACTGAAGTTATTAGGTTATTATAAATTAATTCATTTAAAAGGTATTAATGTTTACTGGATAGAGGCGATGAGCCTAATTATCAGCTGTTTCTTAAATAAATGTTTAGGGTGTGTACTTTAGTGTTTTGCAGCAGTTTTTTGCCATACATGAGTGTGCATTTGAACTAAAATTGGGTATTCTATTAGAAAATACACGTTTTTTTTTAATTAAAAAGTGTTTTTATTCCAAATTCCACCTAAACTAATCGTTTTGTGTTTTTGAAATTAGTTTTATTAGAACTAATCCGTTTAACAGTCAGTGTGACACATCATTAAGATTGTGCATCTTTTCCTGCATCATCCTCCAGCTCGGACGACATGGAGATGTGTTCTCTCAGGGTTCTGGAGGTGGAAGGAAGCCCAAGCCTGATGCTGCTGAGGCTGATGGGAGAGCGAGGATGCACCACGGGTCACCTGATGGACTACCTCCAAACTCTGAGCAACTCAGAGGCTCTGCAGTGCCTGAAGCCACCAGGTACAGGAAACCCCACACCAGCCTAATATCAAGCTTTTAGGTTATTTGACTTCTACATGGCTCATGGTTTGTCCCACCAACACGCCACACATGTTTATAAAAGGTGCCGCTCTGTAGAGCGATGTTCAGTTTAGGTTTTTCTAACTGCATATATTCTTAAACGAGGTGATCTTTCTGGGATGGAAAATGCAGCAACACATGAAAGTATTGTGAGAAAAACAAGCAGGATGCTCTATAATCAAACGTTTGTTTCAACCTTTTACAGTACTGCAGATCCTCGTTCAGCCTCAGTCTGTTGCTCTCATATGTGGCCATAATCTGCGCCTGAGCTGCTACGCCGTGGGAAGATCTCCACTTCAGTACCGGTGGTTTAAATCAAGAGAAGAGGTGAGTGTTTTTGGAAAGAACACAAACAACAATCTTCAGACTCAAACTGGGAGAATGTCATGAGCGTCAGCTGATGATCGGCTGCCCTGAAACACACGCCGTGCATTTCTAGAGCAAAACTGTTTTTTATATGGTGTTGCAGGACAAGTCTAATTTAGGGTTTTCAATAGGAGTAATACAGAAATACACTGTTTGCATGCTAGGATATCCTGGGAAACCTGTGCTGCATTTTCTGGAATGATGGTGACAAGATGTCATTCTCATGTGCAGAGCTTTAAGATGGTTG